AATGTTATTTGATTAAAAATGTTCTACTGATTATTTTTGTGTATCGAACATACGTTATATAAAAACAAATATCCTTATTTATCCACTATTTACAAGTGTATCACCCATGGTGCATAGCGCGTTTATGACTTTTGTATCATAATACAAATGAAAACCGTTAATGCGCAAACGTATCATGGGTGATACACAGATAATTATAATAAATTGTCTTTTTATATTTTGTTTTGATAGAACCGTATTGTAATATTCATTGATACGAATTATAGTTATTACATCATTACGATAAAACTATATTAATAGTAAATAAAAATGTATGCATGAAGGGGTTTTTAATAATATTTTATTCATATTTTATTGAAAATTAGATAACTTTTATTTAAAATGTTGTAAATGTTACTTTAGTCTAATTTAAGTATTAAATTCCTTTCCATAATTAAAGAATACAACCGCCATATGGAAGGTGTTGATCTCCTTGATTCCTTGATTGGGCATTATAAAATTAAAATACGAACAAAAAATTGGTACATGAGGGTTTGGTACCACCTCATTGATAAATCAATCGTTAATGCATGGTTACTCTATATAATGGTAGAGTACCAAAATTAAGTTTATTTGATTTTCGGACAGAAGTTGCATTTTAATTGACAACGTCTATATCTACTCCAAAAAGAGGCAGACCATCTAATGAAGAAAGAGAACAGATAAAAATGCTTAAGCAACATACTCATTTTATAACGCCTGAAGATATCAGAAGAGGTGGTTTACACCATTGGCCAGAATATAAAGAAACAGGGCAACGGTGCAAGTATCAACAGTGTTGAAAACTAACACATGCACTTGTACTAAATGTGATAAGTATTTGTGTTGCAGTGTCAACAGAAATTGTTTTAAACATTTTAATACTAAATAACACGTTTTTTTTTTGTTCCTAATTAGGTAAAACAAGTAGTTCCTAATTACGTTTTATAACTTGAAAAGTGCAATTTTATTTTAAATTTTATTAAATAATTTATAAGTGTTACTAAAATAATTTTATTTTTATTCACTTTGTTGTATAAATATGTTTTTTAATATGTTTTAAATATGGCCAGTTAACTATTATTATTATGACATTATTTGTTATTTAGTTATTTATATTTTATAACTTAAGCAGTGCAATCTATTTTTAAATTTTATTAAATAATTTATAAGTATTTTAAAAAAATTGTTATTTTTTTTTTGTTTAAATTTGTTTTTGCATATAGTTTTAATATGTTCAGTTTACAATTCCTATTATAACATAATATTGTTGAAACTTAAGAATAAATAAAGTTTATTATTCGAAAAAGATTTTTTTTCATGTTTTAAACGCGCAATGTATCATAGGTGATACATTTTTCAAAAAATGTATGAGTTCAAAAAAAATAAATATTTTTCCTATGTTCTGTATCCATAATTACAGGTGCATAAAGTTTTCTGCTAAAAAATCAGACCTTAAATTTAATTCGCGCAGTGTAGGGTTAATAAAAGAAGATTAAATCTTTTTCTGTCTTATTTTTAACCAAATGTCAAATGTTAAAATGTTTTGGACCCCTCCCGAAAAAAATTTCTAGATACGGCCTTGATAGGTAGGTATCTATTCATTTTATATTATTATATAGGTATTTAATTTCATTTTACTTCATTAATTTTGTAAAAAAAATGTATGATAATACAATAATATTAAAATTCTTTGCTGCAATACTACAATTCTAATTTTTGTGTCTGAAACAGTTGAAGTTATTCTCAAGATTCCACTCAATTACATTGCTATATCTCAAAATATAATTGTATTAATATCACGAAAATGTAATATCCAAAAATGTATTATATACTAGAAAAATTACACTCTCTAAAATTATACGCCCGGAGATGAACCTCAGGCTTCTACCCCTATTCAAGAGGGTATCTATGAGACGTATGATTTACCGAATGTAAAAAAAAAATATTTTATTGTTAAATATGTTTCTTAGAGAATAATAATAAAACATTAACAAGTATATAGAAATTAGAATAATAATAATTATTGGTCAATAAGTTTGGATTTCAATTTATCCACAGCAATTTTTTTTAAAAAAAAGATAAAACACTTGAATAAATATAACTGATTCTTCTTCTTCTTCTTCTTTCTTGGTTTCGGCCATTCAAGACCATACCTCTAGATAAACATACTGCCACCTATCTCTATCCTCTGCTACTTCCTGCCAATGAATCTCCGGCTCCACTGTTTTGGCGTCTCTCTTAACGCAATCTTCCCATCTTAAGCGCGGTCTTCCAAGAGGTCTCCTCCCCACTGGGTTTTCCTCTATTACTCTTCTTATTAATGAGTCATGCTTCCTCCAAGCATGTCCTGCCCAAACTAGCCTTCTTTTTTTTATCTCTTTCAGTATATCCGGTCGCTGGAAAAGGGATTGCAGTTCTTCATTGTGTAATTTCCTCCATTCATTTGTGAGAACATCAAAGTATGGCCCATAAATTTTCCTAAGTATTTTTCTCTCAAACACTGCCATCCTTCGTTCTTCAGTCTTTCTCAGAGGCCACGTTTCTGCTCCATAGAGGACAATTGGCCTTAGCAAAGTTAAGTACATTCTAACTTTTAGGTTCTTAGAAATTGCTCTTGATCTAAAAATTTTACTAAGTCCAAAGAAACATTTATTAGCTGATTGTAATCTCATTGAAATCTCTGTTTTTATGTCGTTATCTTGAGTTATAATTGACCCTGAGTATTTGAATTGATCCACTCTTTTAAATTTGTATCCTTCTACTTCAATGAATTCTTCTTGTACCAGATTCCCATTTCTCCGACTGACCAACATGTACTCTGTCTTTTCTTCATTAATCCTAAGTCCTACTTTCTCCGCAGCCTTTATAAGTGATTTTCCCATTTTTATTATCATCTCTCTACTCCTTCCCAATAGAGAAATATCATCCGCATATGCCAGAATATTAATTGTCGATCGTCCTAACTCAACCCCTTCACATAAATTGGTTTCTCTTACTATCTTCTCCAACACTAAGTTAAATAGTATGGGAGAAAGCGCATCCCCTTGTCTTAAGCCTGTCACCACTTCTACTGGTTGTGACAACATATTTGCTAGCTTTACTTTGATTCTTGTTCCATTTATACTTGCCTCTACAAGATTAACTAGTTTTTTTGGAAACTTATATTCCCTAAGAATATTGATTAAGCTTGCCATGTGGATAGAGTCATAGGCTTTCTTGAAGTCCACAAATAATATATACACGTCTTTATTGAACTCCCACATTTTTTGAAGGGTCTGCCTAATCACAAATATTTAATCTGTTGTAGATCTATTTGGTCTGAAACCTCCTTGGTAGTCCCCTATTATTTCTTCCGCAATCGGTTGTATTCTATCTAATAAGCAATATGCAAAAATTTTATAGGTTACGTTTAGTAATGCAATTCCCCTATAATTGCTGCATATCTGGGGGTCATTCTTTTTGTGGATAGGGCATACTAGCGCAGTATTCCACTCCTCTGGGAGTCTTTCCTCTATCTCATTATATTTCCATACCATCTCAATAATATTATGTATTCTTGATACTGTTTCCTCATCTAATTTTTTTAATATTTCTCCCTGAATCCCATCTTCTCCGGGAGATTTTTGGTTTTTTAACCTTAATACTTGTTGTTTTATTTCATTTCTAGTAGGAGGTAAGCATTCACAATCGTTGGTTTCTACTAGTGGAAATTCAAAAGTTTCTTCTGGATTTTCGCAGTTGAGCAGTTGGCCAAAATATTGTCTCCATTTTTCCAATATCTCTTCCTGTCCTGTTGTCAGTGAACCATCTTCATTTTTCAAAAACTTATTATGTTTTTTGTCTCCTCCTCGTATACTATTTACTTTTTGGCACAACTGTCTCGTTCTATTCATTCTAGAATCTACTTCTGCTTCTTCCAATAAATTCCGAGTATATTTTCGTTTTTCATTTCTAAATACTCTACTTGCGCTTTTCTGACATTCTTTATACGCAATTTCTTTTTCTATATTATGTTGGTCATTAAGCCACTGGTTTCTAGCTTCTTTTCTCCGATTTAGAGCATCTTTGCATATATCGTTGAACCATGGTTTTCTTACAGTTTTTACTTTTCCGATTTCTGACTCTGTCACTACCTTTATAGTATCTTTAATTTTCTTCCATTTTGTATCAATTGAGTCATTTATATCTGTATTTATCCTCCTGATTTTTTCCGACATCAGATACTTGAACCTTTCACATGTATTCACATTGTTTAGTTTAGCTGTGTCATATTTGTCTACCACTATTCCTTTTTTCCGAGTAACCTTTTTTATTTTGACTTTCATTTTTCCTTTAACCAGATAGTGATTCGAATCACCATCGGCTCCTCTCATCGTTCTTATGTCTTGAATACAGTTTTTGAATCTTGCGCTCACTAGAACATGGTCGATTTGGTTGACGTACCTTCCATCAGGTGACATCCATGTTCCCTTATAAATATTTTTATGAGGAAACATTGTACTTTTCACTACAAGACCATTTCCACATGCAAAATCGATAAGTCTTAATTCATTATCATTTGTAGTTTCGTGCAGGCTGTGACTACCAATTATTGGTCTGAATACAGCCTCTTTACCTCTTTTATTAGGCAGGGTCGTTAGCCCTGCGCTAAACCCCCAACCTGGAGGACCAGTCTACTCCAACCAATTAAGATCAGAGTAGGGAGAACTAAACCAACTAATTAAAGTCAATTCAGTTTAGAGCTCGGGGCCCTGGGTTCACCATACCCGTCGCACTCTCAGTGCTCCCCTGGAGGGAAATATAACTGATTCAGTCTTATAAATAGTTTAGTTAGGTACATTAGTAAATGGTTGGTAAATTTGATAAATTGGTATACAAATAAATTTACACAACTAATACATTATATTGCATAATATATTAATTCATAAAAATATAGAAACTTTATTAAATATACATAAATATTAAAACTTAAATAAAATTATAAGCAAATAGTTATTCAATTTTGCTATTGTATTATTATCTTATGTACATATTTACAGACTATGTTCAATCTATATCTAAGTATGACAGATCATCTTCATCTCCGGTAGAGAATATATTTGGTAAATTTAATTTACTTTGGGGAGTTGGTGATGCTGAGATATCTGGTTCAATTCTATCACTGTTTGAATTTGAATTACTTTTATTGCACCTAAAAGCACTTAACTTCATTCTAGCCAATTTCCTTGTATCTGACGGTGTAAGTAACGGTGGGTGTATAACACTATTTCTTTCATTGATACAAGAATCACTAGAGTTGCTTAATGATAGTATTGGTGATGTTAAAGACATTGATGATGAAGTAGATAAAGATACAGAAATATTACTTTTTTCTACAGATTTATTGACAAAAATATCTTCTTCATTGAGTATGACATCAATACCATCTTGTTGAAACAACTCAGGAAATTCTTTCTCATTTTTAGATGAAGCTGTCTTAGGTTTTTTTATTTCTCTCCTGTGAATTTGAGATGTATAGAAGTCTTTTTGTTTTTTAATTTTAATGTTTTGTATTGTTTCAGATATTTTGCTAGTTAAAATATTGTTTAAATTTTTGGATTGCACATCTGACATCTTCAAGTCATCTATAATTGTGTTGGTTGAATTTATTTTAGATTTTTGGCTCCACAAATTAATTTCTTTCTCTAGAATATCTTCTAAATCTAACTTTTTCAATATTTTTTTCACTACATACAAAGAAATACAATAAAATACATTATTTATAAAATTAAAATTTTTTTTTTTACTTTCTATGATATATGATTCTTTAGGACATATTGGAAATTTAGTATACAAGGTGTTAATACTATCAGGAGATCCATCATCATTTGAACACTCCATTAATGATATAGCAACTATGGCATCTTGAACAAGAACATGATTACGAAACATAAGTTTTGCATGTGCTTGAGATAATCTGAAAACCAAAATATGTTAGCAATTAAAACATACAAGGTAATAATTTATTTTAATAGTATTATAAAAGTAATAATTATTATGTATATAATACAATTAAAAAATTTTAATTAGTTTTATTAAAATTAATTTTATAATAAGCACCTCAAAAGGCTCTCCAAAAACCGCACAGTAGTTCTAGCAGCATTTCTGTATGTACTTTGCCGTTGCATCCAATAATATTTACTTAGTATTATGTTTGCATCTTCTGTAGTCTCAGGAGTCATATTTCTTATAGTGCAAAAATAGTGCTGAAGTTTTTCTAAATTCCATAAAGTTGAACTACTTTTATTAGCTCCAGGCTTTTTTCCTTGAAGCACATATGAAGATACAACTCTAAAAACAAATCATTGTATTTAGTAGCATTATTTAAAATTTAGGAGCATGATATTACTTTTCCCAATCTTCATTTTTTGTGTCAATAAGAATTAAAATCAAATCAAACCGACTTAATAATGGACTGGCGACTTTTATGTTATCTGTGATAGATAAATTCAAATTATATTTACTTTTTGGATTCATAGCTGCCATAACAGTACAGCGAGTGTCTAGCTTACATACTAATCCAGCCTAAAAAAGTAATAAAGTAAAAAATGTTTAAAGACATTAGTAAAAAGTATACAAATCATATAAGTACTTTAGCAACACTAATAGATTGTTGCTCCATAGCTTCATGAATAGCTGTACGATCATCTTCCTTTAATGAACCAAATTCATCAACACAACAAATTCCACCATCAGCCAGCACTAAAGCACCAGCTTCCAAATGCCATTCAGATCCTTCCTAATAATAATAGTAGAAAATTTAAAAACATTAAAAATAATGTAGCTTTTATTTCAATTAAATCTTTTACCCTGAATGCAGCAACAGTAAGTCCTGCTCTAGAAGATCCAACTCCAGTGGTGAATATTGATCTAGGGCATACTTTCCAAGCAAATTTCAATAGCTGTGATTTTCCAGTACCCGGATCACCAATTAATAATAAATGTGTTTCACCTCGAATTTTTATTCCTCCACCTTGTGATGCTTGTCTTTGTACACCACCAGCTAAACCTAAGGCTACAGCTAATTTAGCTGTATACAACCCATAAGTCTACAATTTTGCAAACATAAAATAAAATACATAGAACATAGGTAATTATTTATAAATTTGTCTAGTTAGTACACTTTATCATGAATCTAGTACATCTAATAATTTAAAAACTTTTTAAACATTTTTTATGCACTGGAAAAATTATAGTTTATTAAACAATTAAGATATAGGAGTATTTAATAATTTAGAGAAAATATGATAATTAGCATTTTCAATACACATAGTTTATTTGTAACAAGTTGTATATAATGTACATTATCAAAAAATATAAATTACTACGCAATAATGTTGCCTGACCTGAGGACTAATTGATGCAATAATTTGATCTCTGGCTGCAAATGGATCATTTTTATTATCTTCCCAATATTTTTCAAATTCTTGAATCCATTCTTTAGTAATCATAATTGCAGACTGTTGATCATTACATACAATCAAGTGGTTAGCTCTTAAGCATAATTCAATATCAATATAGGCATTTTCAACAGTTGGGCTCCATCTTCGAATGACTGTCCCACTGAACACAAACATTTAATAAATTATTGTTTATTCAATTAGAATATTTATATTTTATTAAGATAATAATAACCTAGAAACAGATAATTATTTTTATAATTACAATTTTGCTATCAATTTGTGAGAATACTTAAGAGAATATTTTAAATTAGATTGTGAATACATTTCAGAAAGTTAAATTATTCAATGATATAGTCAAAATTTTTGATATATATAAACAATGATTTATAAAATATATATAACAATATAAAGAAAACATTTTATTTTTACCATATTATAACATCATCACCAGGTTTACAAGTATCAACCAAGTCATCTTCTAAAGACACCCACATTGAACGGGGCATTGCTCCTAAGCCTGTTTTACCAATCTGTTCCTAGAAAAAAATTGAATTAAAATACTTAAATCATATTTGCATACATTAAAATATAGTAAGTGTAATTAAGTACTTGAATTTTGATTTCTTGATAATCCTTTATGTATTGTTTTTCATCTTTTAAAGGTTTTAAATTAGTACCTGAACAGTTGTCTGGATTAGGGCACCGAAAAGGAATTACTAATTTGTTATATTGTTCGTAATCAATCTTTAAAACAAAAAAATTATAGTAAATCCTATCAAAAAAGCAATAAGTAAAAAATGAATACTATTTATTAATATCTACATGTAATATTTAAAAGTACAGAACTTGAAATTACATGTTTTCAAATAATCACTATAAAGTATTTAAGTTGACTATACACAAAAGATTTGTGATATTCTATAGACTCATTTGATGTTTCCTTTGATGGAAATCATTAATAAAAGGCGAGAGAATTTTTCAATTGAAAAGGAAACTGGATACAATTGTATATGGTACAGAAGATATACATATATATTTGAGCATATTCAACCAAAACCGTGGTTTGAACTCGATACACTGGGATCTATAATTATATTTTCAAATTTCGACTAATATTATTGAAGTTTTAGTAGGGATCCTTAATTTTTTCTAATAATAAATATTATTTAGGGATAATGTAGCAATCTAATGGTAAAAACAATTTTGAAATTGGTCAAGTAGTTTTTGAGATTTTTGTGAACAAACAAATAGGTTAAATGCTGTCTTTTTAATAATAGTAAGATTGATTTAAAAAAAAAAAAACAATTATTTTAAAGTAATGACATTAATAGTAAAGGTTTAAAATTAAAATATATTTTATTTTGGAATTGAGAGATAAGATACTTTTATTATAAAATTCAGATTAAATTATTTCTATTTTATCATTTTAATATTATACTCTTGAATTATAAATTTTACTCTAGCATATTATGAATTATAACAATTTAATAAATATTAAAAATTAAAGTTAGATATTATAAACTATTAAAACTACCTTTATATCAAATTGTTCTTTACATTTATTACAATAATAAATTCTTTTGTATTCTAATAATTTTGGTAAAACTGTTCTTACGACAGTGCCATTGACACGTAAAAATGAACCAATATCTTCATTGCGAGGAAATATAGTTCGATGGAGTTCTGGACACAATGGCAATGCTACAAAATTAAAATGAATTTAATGTAATAATTATATTTTAATTATAAAATAGGTGTAAGTAAATAGTTGAACAATTTAAATATTTAAAAAAATACTAATTCATTAAAAATATTTAATATCAAAATGAAGAACTAAATAAATTATTATGTAACTGGATTATATCAATACTCAATTAAAAATGTAAAATCATAAAACAAAAACGAACCAGTAATTCTTGTATGAACTTTTTTTTTAATACGGAGTTTAATTGTTTTATCATGATGATTTTTTTTTAATACTCTTTGAGCAGAAATCAAATTTTTATCACACTGTTCCAGCACATTAATGGAATCTTCAAGTATTTCTTCACCTAGTTTGGGATTTTTCTCAAAAAGTGTCAAGAAACTAAAAATGTACACTTCAAATATTAAATATGTTTAAATAGTACCTAATGATCTTACTTTAGATGTCTTACTTTATTGTTACTGAATAGTGTTGGCTTTTGTCTACATATTTTAATATATTTAATAATTCATCTGCATGATAGGTACATAGATACTCTTGAAACATTTTATTCTAAAAAATTAAAAAATAAATAAATGATTTAAACCTATACAATTCAAGTTATATAACTATTAAAAAAATTGAATTAATTTTTTTTTTATTTTGTAGAAAAATTAAAATATCAAATATAAGTTTAAATTTTAAAAACTTAAAACGCATAAAAATATATTATAAATATAAAGGCGTAGTAATAATATTTGGTAACAGGATAAAAATAATTATTATCATAACAAATATTAACAGAATAAAAACCCGCCAAAATGCAATTATCATTGTCACCACAAATTATAAAAAAAAATGTGTACAACCAGTGCTATCACGTATATTTCAAGAGATAATAAGAAAACTAATAATAGAAAATGATAGATAATCAAATCGTTTTTTCAAATTTTTGTGGGAAGGATTTTCTAAAAAAAAATAAGTGATTATATAATATTATTAAAATAATATATAAGGTATGAATTAATTATATTATATTATTCTATTATTATTATTATTATTATAAATACAAATTAATTTATTATTTACAACCAGTGGCGTAGCCAAGGGGGGGGGGGCTAAGGGGGCTATAGCCCCCTCCATGGGCCGTGTTTATATGTATAATGTATCTTGACTATTTAATAGAATCAATGGATGCTCGTTTTAATCAAAGGCTTATTGATGTTATGCCACTTGAAGGACTTATTCCGGCCAATTTAAATATGTATGACGATAAAAATATTATAAAAGCTGCTAAAATATATGTCCAAGATCTCCATGATGATACTTCATCTACAATCAGAGCTGACCTGTTTATATGGAGGCAACAATAGAGTCAAAATACTATTCCAAAACCGAATTCTGCTCTTGATTCACTCTCTCATCGCACCAATCTTCGACCTAACATTAAAATACTTTTACAATTATTCGCCACGTTACCAGTTTTACCTCTTTCACTCCGGAAAGAACGTTTTCAGCACTTAATCGCTTAAAAAAATTTTTAAGAAGCACTATATCGGAAAACCGACTGAATGGGTTAGCTATGGCTTATATAAATAAAAAAAGAGCAATTCGATGAAAGTGAAATAATAACTGAATTTGCCAGAAATTCGCCTAAGAGGATGCAGCTGTCAGAGTGGAGCAAGGGACTGAACACTTAAACCAAAATTATTATTATTATTATAAATTATATATTAATAAATATTTTTAAAACTATACTAAAATGCTTGAATTAAGTTTAGAAACTTGTTGGTAGATGGGGGGGGGGTTAAGGGTGAATTCTCGTATCCTCTCTTACCTAACTTATCCAAAAAAGTGGTTAGCCCCCCCCCCATTTAAAAATCCTGGCTACGCCACTGTTTACAACCACATTATAAAAAACTATATAAATGTTTTCTTTCTCTGTTCCTTCGTTGCAAGTCGTTTATGACTTTAGAACCTTTAATCATAGACCTCTCCCCCGACAAAAATACGCCATTGTATATAATTATTCTATTTTACATACTAAAAACCTAGAAGCTAATACTTTTAATAAATGCTGAAAAAATGAATAAGTAAATAGCATTTTTCTATTTTTTTAATTCGGTAGTGTTAATTTTTTAAGAAAATAATAAGATTAAAAATTATTAAATGTTTAATACTCAAGTAAATTTAAATATAAATAAATAAACAAATCATTTATTAATACAAATAAATTAATGTTTAGCCTGGATAGGTAATTATAATATTTGTTAAGTATGACCGATTTCGAATTAAAAATTCATTGTAAGGTATACACAAAGTCAATAAGAATGCGACTGGATATGAATAAATAAAGAAAGCAATACATTGAGAAAAATTGATATTTTAACATCAATACAATTTATTTTAATCGGAGAGAAAATTTAAAATTAATTCTTATTAGACAGATACCTATGTTGAAAAATATAAATAATTTTATTATTATTATTAATTACTAGATATCTAAAATGTATTGCTATAAGATATTATTTTTAAAATCAGTTGATACATTTAAAATATAAAATTTTTCTTTTTTATTTCATTGTGTATGAGTAACTCTTTTAAAACTGAATTAATGTAAAAGTCATTATGGGTATTTACTATATTTAAATCTATATTGATATCAAAATGAATATTGTAGTTGTTTTTTAAACCATGTTTAGTATCATTTAAATTAGGGGCAGTATTTTTAAGTTTTATTTCAGAAATGTATTCTTTATATCTTATTTTAAAATTTCTATTTGTTTTATCCAAATAAATTGTATTAAAACTAGATTTAAGTTTATATACGTATACTAGCACTTACAAAAGAATTTTTGTGAAATGTTTAGTTCCATTATTTATGAGACTAGAGTGTAGTAAAAGAATATACATATAATTTCCTTGTATAAATATAAATCAAATTTAAAAATTTTAAATCAATTAAATGAATTTTATTTGATAACTCTAATTTAATAATAAAATAAAAATGTAATAATTCAAATTTTTTTTAATTTCTCTTTAGAATTGGAATTTTTTTTTTATCTACCATAATCAAAATTCCTTCGGGAGCCAGGTAACCGCTTTTTACTATTTTTTTAATTTTTAATAGTATAAATATAATAATTTTGTAACTTAAATTTTTAAAAATCAATAAAATATTTAAATTAATGCTTTATATAAAACTATTTATAAATTAAGTTTAAAAATTTTAAATACATATATAATTTTTATATAATTACTCTCATTTAATTATCAAATAATAATATTTTAATTCTATTTTTTTTATAAATTATAATGATAATAGTTATTATAAATAATAAGTTTTGATATAACATTACAGTGATCTATTTAAAATTATAGCAATAACCACGATTTTATTTGTAGAAATAAAACATTAATGTTATGTTATTACGTATAATAAGCGCAACTGTTTGAGGATATATGCAGGATCCAGTTTTTATTTCAAGGCGATAAATATAGGTAGGTAAACTCTCCAAAAAAGTGTATTTTTTTTGTTAATTATTTAATCCTATGGCTTACCACATACGAGAATATCCTCATAGGATATACCCCGAGAATTTACGATACCACCCCACCCAGATAGAAAGTCTTAAATAAACATTGGCTAGATCAATCACTCAGTTAGGGCTGTCAAGCTTCAAAGCACTTACCAAAATTAATTAATAATATATTATGATAATAATATATAATATAGAGTCCTATGAAAATCGTTTAAAATCCTCGAACTTAATTGTACCGCTGTGATATGAGGTATAATTTTATTTTATTTTTTTTTTTTAAGACGAATCAAACGTTTATATAATCGGAAAAATGGGAAACCACAGCGTAGTTTGCACCAAACTTCCCGTGTTAGGTCAAAGTCAAAAAGCTACGACTGCTGCGGGCAATAACTCGCTTAAGCGAGCAATTGCTGCGTTAACTACATGTTCTCATGATATACTTTGATTTAATAACCGGAGCGATTTACAGGAACTTTTCAAAAAGTCGAACACATATTCGTATGCAGTACCGGAAACGGTGTGCCACATTACACGAACTACGACAAGCACGTAAACTAGGAGACGTAGTCGTTTCTCGTTACGGGAACAACCAAAAGTACATGTACTTATTGGAATGCACACAGTGGCCGGTGAAAAATATACACGCTACCGATTCGTGTGTGACAACCAATAATTTAATCAAAGTATTATTATTAAATTCAGGGCCGTCTACATGTATTTATTATTTATATTATAACATTTAAGAGAGTCGTCACCGAAAATGGAAACATCAAATTCCATTTCTACCATTATAGTCCGAAAGTATTCGATATTCGGATAGCTGCGATGAAATTGCAAATGGAAGTAAGTCTAATGTTCGGACTGGGTTTATTTCGAGTCAGATTGTTGTCGGATTGTACATGATTCATAGGAGCTTGACTTGTATTACGTGTATTCCTCAACCGTGCGAAGTGGTGAAAATAACGTGAAGATTAAAGGGATTTTCAATATTGATGAAAATAGTAATCAATTATATTTCAATGCTCTCGTATGAAAAAAAAGCATTTACAGGACATTCGATGTTGGTTAGCCATGCAAACTCCCGTATAGGTGATCATAAGTATACGAGTTTTTAACAACGATGTAGCTAAAAACTACATAGGTTTTCCGAGAGCTAGCACAAAGTTACTCGAGTGTTACTATACCATCATGACTAGTGATGATCAAAACAAGACCAAGACTAAGACTTTCAAAATCTTGATCTTGGTCTCGGGTATACGCATTAATCTTGATCTTGGTCTTGCAAACTCAGTCTTGGTCTTGGTCTTGCGCAAGACTCTTGCTATTTTCACAAAATATAAAAAAAAAACTAAATATCTACCTGTTATAGCTGTGTAGGTTTTTTGCTATGACTTCTAAGATGAAAACTAAGTACAATATATTATGTAGTATATTAATAATTTAAAACAATCAAACAATGTAATTTTTATTATTAATTTTATTATAGGTACTCGTTTAAGACTGCATTTTAAAATATTATGTTTATATTATTTTACTTTTATTTATATTTGATGAATCAATTTACCAGCTTAATTAACTTTGTAAGTTCCTATTACATTTATAATAAATATGAATATTATAGACCACAAGTTTACGACAGTAATGAAATGATATGCTGTATAAGATACTAGTTTAAGTACACAATGTATAGTATGGAAAAATCAAATAAGCTACGAACGAAAATAAAAACGTACTTCCTATCAAAATGATATCTATCGTTGTCCGTAATGACTTCCAGCAATTATTAGTATATTCGATTCAAAGTAGAGGTGTATTATGGATATGTCATAAATTATTCTATGAGGAAGACAACTTTCGACATTTCCATCGATTTTGAGGAAAAAATATAATTTTTCAGTAATTGCTAAGTATGAAACAACTATATTATGTTATTTTGTAATATTAATTCCAATTATTTGTAATCATTTTTTCAATAATTCGTTATTTTTTCAAATACTGATAAAATGTAATAACAATACAAATAATTTCTTATTATTTTCGTTATTAATTATTAGTTAATGAAATCTAGATAACTAATGTGTTTTCAGGGAAAAAAAATTAAAATTTGCAAGACTGCAAGAGTCTTGCAATGATGGTCTTGGTCTTGCAGCTTTGGTATTGGTTTGGTCTTATTCTTGCTAGACCAGTACCGTTTTGGTCTTGGTCTTGGAGCAAGAGTCTTTTACTAATCATGACCCACTATCAGCCGATGTCTTTATAGTTGCCGAGGTGCAAATATTATAAAAAAAAAAAAAAATTATAAATAAAAACTATTACTTTTTTACAAAGTGGCATTATATGGAAACTGAAAAACGTAAAACCGCAAATATCGAGGTGGTGTAAAGTACAATTTTAGCAAAGCCTCAATATTCGAGCCTGCCCGGAGCGTTCTTATATATTTGTTTATTATGACTATTGGATTACAGGTGAAATCAGTGGACGACTACAAAAAGTCGTTGTGGGACAAAAACCTAAGCGAATGTCTAAACGCACTCGAAGAGCAAAATACGACGGACAACGAGTTGGATATCAAAGAGCCGCCGATGGACTCGGACATCCTTTAAATGTACATCGGCAGAACGGAAGTGATCGAAATGTTAAAAAGGTATAGTGTAAACTGCGTCCGAATTTTTATCGATGTTAAAAAGGTTTAGTGCAGAGACGGCCAAACTTTTTTCGGCCTCGATCTACTAAAAATATACTTCACCTTTGAAGATCGATTTTCTTGGAAAATTTTTTTATAAACCAGAATAAAAGATAAAAACTATACAGATAAAACTTATTGACAATTTTTTCATAACCACCACGATTCATTTTCGTGCACGTGGCTTAAAAATAAAATCTAACATGATCGACTCTGAAATCGTCCGCGATCGATCGTTTGACCGCCCCTGGTATAGTGTAAACTGCGCCTGATGAAAGAGTGACACGATTTGCGGAATATTTGGTAGACGTATATATAAGTGAAGAAGCTCAGTATTCACCTGAAGTATGGGTTCAAGCATCAGCAGAGCCAACTTTGCTATACCAAATGCATGCGAGTCTTTTCATTCTCACTTTAATTTCAGCTTTTATACAACTCATCCAAATATTTTCATATTCATAGAAAAGTTAAAAGAAATTCAAATAGAAGTATACATTAAACTAGATAGTATAAATGAACCGTTTAAATTCCAAAACTCTAAAACAAAAAAAAAAAAACCCAAAAATTTAGAAAATTTAATTAATAAATATAATAGTGGTCAAATTCCAATTGATGAATATGTATCCACTATATGTTAATATTTGTAATATTTGTATTTATTTTGCTTTTTAAAATTATATATATTTTTTAATTATTCATATTATATGGCTGTAACGAATTAAGTATTTTACCTGGAATTTTACCCGGGTGCAGTTTACAATCGCCAAAAACATCATAGCAACATAATCATACTATCAGCGTCCACGAAAAGACAACAATAATTGTTGTAAATTATTTACGGAAGAGACCACGTGATTAGGGACTTTGCGATACTACCGTTACCAATAAAGTATCGATACTTTTCTTTCGATACAAATACTTTTTGTATCGATACCACGGTTTCGATACTTTATTCATGTCGATAAAAAAATACTGGTATCGAATGAATAGTATCGAATTATTTACTAACCGCCATATTGCTTCAAAAATCAAAAGCACTCGAATAGTCGAATGGTATCGAACAATAATTCTTTTCGAGTAAAATGGTTTGAGCGCGTGGTGGAAGATTTATTTACATAAATCAGTCATCACACTGTAGTCCATAGATTCTTAACCTTTTCTGGGCCATGGATCCCTTTAGAGCATAAAATAAAATCACGGACCCCCTCCTTAAATATATATATATATAAAAAAATAAATACTAATTTTATTTTAATTTAAAAAAAAAAAATAGATAAATCTAAAATATTAAATTATTGTGAATAATCACTTTTCTTTTATTTAAAAACAAGTTTTAATGTGACATTTGCTGTTATTTTGATTACAATATTGCTTTGAAATCTGGAACCGTAAATGACAGAGAAACGTGCATATTGTCCTTAATGTCCATTAGATTTTTTGCTTTAGTTTTTATTGTGACCATTGTATAAAATCCAAACTCACAGAGATGGGTAGTAGCGAATGGAATCAAACATCAGAGCCACCCTGCGAACCCCCGGTTAAGAACCTATGCTATAGTTCAGTGGTCTTCAACCTTTTTCGACCTGCGACCCACTTTTCTTACCAAACATTTTTCGCGATCCATGTAAATTTCGTTAGCCATGAAAACCAAATAAAATGTTAAAATTGTTTAATGTATGCCATTTTAGAAGTGCTTTTATAAATGAATAAATTAAAATTTATATTTTGTAGGTATTCAGGAAATATTTAATTTTTTATATAAGTAATGATACAAAAAAAAAATGCATGTAATGATACCGAAAAATGTATATGTTTTGATACACAAAAGAAATGAGTGCGATATTTGTCCCGGACTGTTTTCACACGAAATACTTCCACCTCAGCTCAATTTAACACTATGCAGTTTATAGATATATGAAATGTGAATGAGATTTATAAATTTAGTCGGGCTATCACTTCATTTGATTGTTCATTCTTTTTTTCTTTTATTTGAAAATTGAAGCTTCAACAGCAAATATTATTAGCTATTAGATGTTACATATTTGATGTGTTAGGTTTTAGATTTAAAATTACAATATTACATATGAAATATTATATAAGTAAAGTTAGATGTACATTAAGATTTACTAATATAATATTTGTGATACTTAATAATAAGACTATTTTCAGAGTTTGTTTTTCGCTAAGTACTTTTACTATGTTGGATGGCATGTTCAGGTCGGTGCGTATTGAGATAAATTGTGTACACTCCTCCACTACGTGTTCGACAGTTAATGCTTAGTAGCATGTGTTGCATATTAGTTTGAGGATTTTTTCTAATTAAGTATAAGTGTTTGAGAAAAAAGTGTTTATTCTAATCTTCTACAAATTTAAAATAATATAAAATAGTACGGTTTCGGGTTTATTCGAAAACATTTTTATGCAATATCATTTGGCATACATTATATATAAATATGAATTTTTTAAATTTTAAACAGAAAACTTATCGTGACCCAAAACTGGGCCGTGACCCACCGGTTGAAGACCACTGCTATAGTCTATACCAGGGGTGGCCAAATTGCGTCTCGCGAGCCGCATGCGGCCCTCGTCATAGTCGTATGCGGCTCGCGGTCTTATTTTCAAAAACCAAAATATTTAAATTTTTTTGTATACATTTATAAAAAAAAAATTTTATTGCATAAATACGAGGCTATAGTGTACAGATTAATAAACAAAAAAAAAATAATTATTTATATGAATAATAAATTAAAAAATTAAACATCAAGTTAAATTTGTTTGCGTGGTATTTTTTTCATGTCCACTTTTTTAGTAAGCTTCTTAAGATCTGGTTGAATTGATGTAAGAGTTGTTCTTAGTAATTCTGTGTGATGATCATTAGTCAAATTTTAACGATATTTTGACTTAATTATTTATATATATATATATATGTGGCTCGTGTACATAGACATGTTGGCCACCCCTGGTCTATACTCTATACGATTATATTATTATTTCCACGGACCAGAAACCACAGTTAACAATACAATAGTGTCAATAGGTTTCCTCTTAATCGGAACGATTATTCATATCGGTCGTTTTTATATTTTACTCTTATCATTATTTTAATTCAATTCGATACGACGAAGTAAAAGGATCAATACTTATTCATATCGGTCCTTTCGTTTCGATATTCTTTACATATCGATATTTTCATTCGATTCGATACCAAGTAAAAGTATCGATACTTTTCTTTCGTACTTCCAGTATAATTTTCCAAATCGTATGTGTCAATATCGATAGTTAAACTCTGCACCAGAGAAAAAAAAATAAAAAAAACAATAGTAGCGACCATCGATAAATTCCCACCTCTACGGCAGCCCCGCAGCTGTTGCTGTTTCCGCTTCCGACGCGCATTACTCTTACGATCCGACGTCGCCGGAATGCCGTGATAACATCCGCTGATAACAACGCGTCCGCGACTTGTGCGCGTCAGTGCGTCAGTGCATATCTTTAACGCGAGAAAACCTGCTGCTATCTGCGATCCGGGTGCGCATTAACAACAATAGTAATAATCGTTTGTTCGCGCGACTCGAGGACGGGTGACGACGGCCCGACTCCGGAGGCGACGGCGACCCGACGATTACGGTACCGTAATACACGCGTCGTCGTACCGCGTACGCCACGTTCTTCTTAATGACGTAAACCGCGGTGTCTCTTCGCTCGCGCGCGTCTCCCTCACCCGCCCCCTCCGGTCCAGCACGGCTGTTGCCAGGAGGTTCGCCGCGATTCGCGTACTAACCGACCGCTTCCGGTGCTTTTGGAATAACTCCGCGCTAGGCGTTCGAAGATGTTCGCCGCCCGTCCGTCGACGTCGACAGCAACCACGGTCTCGCCGTTACCGCCGCGTCCGTCCGCGATTTTCCGCCGTCACGTTACCCACGCCTCCGGAACGAACGCGAAGCGCTTCGAATGATAGCCGCAAGCCGTCCATTTCCTCCACGGTATTCTGTTTCCGGTTTTCGTTTCGACAGCCCGTACCGATTGTCGCCGTCACATCGAACTCTAACACTACCGCCGCCGACATCCTCCCCTCGCACTCTGCACGACAACTCCGGAGTAATGCCACTAGCTGGTCTCGGTGATTCAGTCGACCCTTGGAAACGAGTGTCGCTACAAACGGAATCTGATGTAAGTTACACACGATGCAGTGCAATAAGACACGCATTAGACACCTGTCCAAAGCCTGTGCTTATGTCTCTGTGGGGAATCCTTGAAAATTTGCACCCACATATTGTAGTATCCCCGGTTTTGTAGAGTTGATGGTATCCAGGTAGTATAGTTTTTAAGTATATATACAAAAAAAAAAAAAAATAGTTGTTGGAATTTTAGGTTGTGAAATTTGGCGAATCAAAAATATATTATTCTTGAAACATGCCAAATCGATATTTGTCAAATACAAATAAACGTTTGATATTTTTAAAAATTATTATGTAACGCATATCCAATTATGAAATCAACAAATATAATGTAATGTTTATATAATTTTTCACCTTGAATTTTTCTTAGTTATTTAGTATCATTGTTACAAGATTGAGTTGTGTTATCCTTTTTTAGAAAATATTAATAATTAATTATTGCATTTTAATATATATATAAATTTTTTTTTATTGAAGTTTCATAAAGATTTTTAACCCATTATTCAAAACCTTTTTTTTAAAAAATAAATAACAATTTTAAAAATTTCTAAACATTTTATATTTTTAATACGACACAAATATTATTAATGTTCTAATTAAAGCCTTAATTCTATTGTTATTCAAATTTAGTTGATATAAACATTTATTAATGTTTTAAACTTTTATCTTAACAGTGCATATTTTAATAAATCTTGGATATTTTACTCGATTCCATTTCAATCGATTCATTTTAAATATAGTTATATTTTATTTTCATTAATTTTAGTCTCATATAAAAATGTTGTTATTCTTGTTTTTTTTTTTTTTAATTATATTTATTGCTTTAAAAATAATGATTTAAGTATATTAAATTACAAATAGGTACATGATTTCAAATGTATATACTTATCATTGTTTAAATATTGTAATATTGCGATACATTTTATTAAATTTTAAATGGATCATAATTACACAAATATCAATAGTGTTCAAATGAATTATATTTTATGTCATACAAGTGTATTTATAATTATTAGTGTATTTAACTACATGTGTTATGAAATGGCTTCTACAGTAATGTCATTAGTAGGTTTCTTAATATTAATAGGCTATTAAGTGTACATATGAAACATTTTTATAATATGTCTTAAATAGTTATAGGTACTTTTTTAAAGTGTTTTTCTTACTAGTTGGGTGCAAAATCGGTCTATTTCATATTTTTAAGGTTCATATTTATAGCTTAAGAGTGTTAATTGTTTGTATTAATTAATATTGTTGTATATTATTTTAGAATCAGGTGGATACAAACACCATGGTTGTTGGTACATCCAAAGGAAAGCCAATACCATTCAATCAATCTAAGTCCTCAAGTTTACATAATAATATTGATATTAAACCAGATATAAAAGATGAAATTGTGGAAGAATTAGATTATGATCATGATGAAAACCAAAACGATTCAGATGAAAATAGTGGTCATGAAATTGAACTTAAAGAACTTATTAAAGAAGGTCACGAAAGAGCTGATCGATCACAATTTGAATTGTTAAAAGTTCTTGGACAAGGATCATTTGGAAAAGTGAGTTTCTAAGTATTATTCTTAAAAGATATATGTTAAATTTTAAATTTATTATAGGTTTTTTTGGTTCGAAAAATTGTTGGCCCAGATAATGGAACACTATATGCTATGAAAGTATTAAAAAAAGCAACTCTTAAAGGTATATTATTTATTTGAATTTATTAAAAGAACATAGTTTCAACATTATTTAAATTACTTTAGTGAGGGATAGAATAAGAACAAAAATGGAGCGTAATATATTAGTTGATGTTCGCCATCCATTCATTGTGCGATTACATTATGCATTTCAGACTGAAGGCAAATTATACCTTATTCTAGATTTTTTACGGGGTGGAGATCTATTTACAAGGCTTTCAAAAGAGGTATTTATATGACATTTAGTTATTTATAAATTTATTATTATTTATTTATTATAATACAATTCTAGCTTAGTCTTAGCTATTTTAATTTTAATTAAAAATAATTATGTTTATAAGGTTATGTTTACTGAAGAAGACGTTAAGTTTTATTTGGCAGAACTAGCATTAGCTCTTGATCATATACATAGCCTTGGAATAATTTACAGGGATCTAAAACCTGAAAAGTAAATATATATATTCTTAATCTCTTAGTATTTATTTTTCAAGAAAATGATTTAACATATATACTTAAACTATATTTTGCACTAGTATATTATTAGATGCTGATGGTCATATATCCTTGACTGATTTTGGTTTGAGCAAATTACCATTAGATGATCAAAAAGCATATTCATTTTGTGGAACTGTTGAATACATGGCCCCTGAAGTGGTAAATCGTAAAGGTCATTCATTTGTAGCTGACTGGTGGTCATTTGGAGTTTTAATGGTAAATCTTAATACTATTATCATAAGTTTAATATTTATTTATTTCTCTTTATTAGTATGAAATGCTTACTGGATCATTACCCTTCCAAGGAGCTAATCGTAAAGAAACTATGTCTCAGATATTGCGTGCCAAACTTGGTATGCCACAGTTTTTGTCTCATGAAGCGCAAGCTTTGTTACGTGTACTTTTCAAAAGAAATCCTAGTAATCGCTTAGGCGCGGGTAAGTAAAAAAAAAAAAGAGATTAATTTTAATTTGATAAATATTTATGAATGTATGAAGTATAATAATTATTATAATTTTTATAAAATGTAAGCTGGTATTCAAGAATTAAAAGATCACGCTTTTTTTGCATCAATCAATTGGGACAAATTATACCATAAAAAAATTCATCCACCATTTAAACCAGCTGTCAGTAGAGCTGATGATGCGTTTTATTTTGATAGTGAATTCACTTCTAAGACACCAAAAGGTTTGAATTTAAATTATTTTTTTAATTACATCTGTCAATACAACTGTATTGTTTTTAGACTCTCCATGTGTTCCTCCTAGTGCTAATGCACATGAACTATTTCGAGGGTTTAGTTTTGTTGCTCCTTGTTTAATGGGAGAGGAGGACATTGTGAATCTTCAACAAACATCATATATGCCAGCTAAAGTTACTGAACCATACTCAAAGGTATTTAATAAATTTACTCCTTGTGTTCCAAAACTAAGAATTTAAGAAGATAAAAAAATGTATGCAATCATATTATAATTATTAATTTTCTATGAATATTGTTATTTAGTTACCTTATGCTAAAAGAAATGCTGGTGATGAATATGAACTAAAACAAGAAATTGGCCGTGGTAGTTATTCTTCTTGTAGATTATGTGTTCATAAAACAACTCGTATTGAATATGCAGTTAAGGTGATTTACATTTGTTTCTCATACAATTATTTGTGTGGTTATTAAATTTTTATTTAAATGTTTCTAGATAATTGATAAATCAAAAAAAGACTGCCAAGAAGAAGTTGAAATTCTTTTACGATATGGACATCACAATAATATAGTAACATTGAGAGATGTTAGTATTAAAAAAATATATACTCAGTTTTCTTGAATCTATTTAAAATATGTTTAGGTATTTAATATTTATTGATTTAAAATTTATCTTTTAATAGGTTTATGAAGACGATAAGTCTATTTATTTAGTAATGGAATACATGAGAGGTGGAGAATTGCTTGATCGACTTCATAAGCTAAAATACTTCTCAGAAAGAGAGGCTAGTGCCATAATGCAAGTTGTCACCTCAACTATATGTTATTTACATAAAAATGGAGTAAGTTATTATTTGTTGGTTTATTGGTTTAAAAGAAATTAATTTTTTAAATAAAATTATTAATATATATTCTAACAATTATTTTATTTGAATCTTAGGTTGTGCATAGAGATCTAAAACCATCAAACATTCTTTATGCTACTGATAGCGCATCACCTGATGCTTTAAGAATATGTGATTTTGGTTTCGCTAAACAATTACGTGCAGAGAATGGTCTTTTAATGACACCATGTTACACTGCCAACTTTGTAGCTCCTGAAGTACTGAAAAGACAAGGTTATGATGCCGCTTGTGATATCTGGTCATTGGGTGTACTATTGTTCACATTATTAGCTGGGTTAGTCTCATCAAATCCATATTTCTGATTGTAATAAATTTAAATAATAATTTATATTCTATTTAGGCATACACCATTTGCTAGTGGCCCTGATGATACACCAACTGAAATATTAAATCGCATTGGCAACAGCAGTTTAGATTTAAAATCAGGAAACTGGATGGTAGTTTCGACTGAAGCTAAGGTACAATGTGGTACTGCTTAACAATTTTTATGTCTGTATTCCTTATAAAATATATTTCCCAGGATTTGGTAAAAAAGTTGTTGCACATAGATCCTCATCAAAGACCAACAGCTAGTCAAATTCTATTAAGCCCGTGGATTTTGAATAGAGACAAATTACCAACACATCAGATACAGTTGCAAGAATCATATAAAATAAATGTTAGGGAATCAATTTGATAAGTTTTCATGTATTTTAATTTTTTCTATTTTGATTTTAGGGAGCAATGGAGGCTACTTATCGAGCCGTCAGTCAATCTCCCCCAACTCCTAATCTTGGACCAGTTGTGTTAAGTCAGCTGGCACAAAGACGACACAAATCACGTACTAAATGATACTTGATATCTACTTATATATAACTTAATATTCCTTTTTATTCTATTTCTATCACTATATTTATCTTATTGTGTATGATTAAATTCATACTTCTTTATATATAATGTAGCATCTTTTATTGTATTTAAATATCTTTTTGACTTTATATCTAAATTATTTTATCAAATCTTAAAGTTAAGATAAAACTTGTTTGTTTACCACCAAATGTGTGTAAATGACATTTTAACATTGACAATATAAATGTAATGGACTTCAATTATTATATTATTATGTGTACATAATACTGTTGGTGACATAAAAACTAAATGAACATCACAATCATGATTGTAATTATGATGATGTTCATTTAGCTTTTAACAAAAGTTTATACACAAGTGCTTATAATTAACAGTATTAAACATTCCTAGTAAGATTGTTATGTTTATTAATTACAATTACAAAGTATACAAAAATGTAATTATATTTTTATGTTTAAAATATACAAATTTGTTGAGAGTATTATAATATATTGTTCATTTATGTCATTTTTAGTCACAGTCTGTTGAAAATTCATTATAACAACATTTGTTAGCATATTAGTGGTTTTCAATAATTTACTGGTGTAAAAACTATATTATATAAAATTATATTTTTTTTTTTTGAAGAAATAAGATTAACTTTTATTAACAGTTATTTTTCAAAGTGGTAGAAATCATCTTGTAATACATTATTCTATACAATAGCGCCTATGTAGCGTACCAAGTGGTGCAATTGCACTGATTTCTCTTGAAGATTTTTTTTTTTTTTTAGAATTTTAAATTCAAACCCATATTAAATAAAGGAATTGTTAGGAATTAGCAATATTTTTAAATTTATTCAAGGTAAACATGTATTTGAAAATGATCTTGGGAAAAAAATTATTTCAATCGAATGAATATGGTCCTATGTAGATCAAAATAAATTTGGGGGCCCTATAATTAGAACTGCACTAGTTCATGGAAAACCTGTGTAAGTCACTGATTCTATAGTTTCAATTTCAAGCAATTAAAAAATTATTTGTATTCATGTCGAAAGGCAAAATTGGTGACTGTAAGGATTGAAAAAGCTTTTATGGTTTTTGAAATTTTTATTTTCATTAAAATATTCAAGTAAATTATTTTGGAAATAAGGTTAGGTTAGATAATTATTGGTCTATCGATGCAAAAAATCAATTAATATGAAATCAGACTAATGATTTTTCGTCAGTAGATAAAACCATGATTTAAGATAATATATTATCTTAAATCATGGATAAAACGTAACCTATCGGTAATCAAAACGCAATATTATAAACCACGATTAAAGATATACATACCTGGAAGCACGATTAAAGATGTTACCCTTATCATAATACCAAGATAATCTTCCTTATCAAAACTTATCAATACATCGTGCAATAATCATAAAACTATTTTGTGATATCTACTATTTTTGTTGGGTTTTTAAAATTTTAAATATTTTATTCAGTTATTAATTTAACTTCTACTGACTTATCAATCCACCAACATTCCATTTGCCAAGTTTTTACTTAATTTTCATCAATATAAATATATTATTAAAAAAAAAAAAAAAAAACAGTTTGAAGTCTTGTTTTCTGGATTTGAATTGTGTAACCCATGTATACTGTACGAAATTTGTAGCATATCTGGTAACTTCGTCTTTTTATCATTCAAAGTAAGTAATTTAAGAAAGTATATTTGATTGTGATATATATTTATGGAACATCTGCAGTTTAACTACCGAGAGATTTTTAAAAATTTTTTGTTCGAAACCTATGTAAATCAACGTTTTAAAAATGATGGTGCCAAAAAAAAATCGGCGCTGACGTTTACTTTTTGAGTTATCATGGTTTGAAATATCTCTCGGTAGTGTTTACATGTGTATCGGCACTCCGTAAATTGAAAATATCCCTCGACTTGTTATGCAAAATCACTTCATGTAGGTCACAGCCCACAGGGTAAAAACTAAATATATTAATGAGAGACGACAATCTAAGACGATCTTTTGGTAGGCACACTGAAATAATTCCCAAAATTCGAGAATTCTCGAATATCAAACCGTTATAATTCAAAAACTAAGCGTCGGCGTCAATTTTTTTTGGTACTATAATTTTCAATAAACGTTGATTTATATGGGTTTCAAAAAAAAAATTTGCGAATATTTCTTGGTTACTAAACTGCAATTATATCATATTTAATCATAAATTTTTTTTTTAATTGTAGTTTTAAATACTTATACCTATTATAATTTTGACGTTTAGTATTAAAAAAAAATTATTTTATGCCAACAATTTTCATAAAAAAAAAAAAACATAACTAAGACATTCTACATAAAATTGATGCTTAGTAAATAAAATCAAAACTATCTTCTTGTTTTCCTTTAGTTAAAATATGGAAAATTGTCCATAATTTTTCATAAATTAAACATAAAATACATTTTGTTTTATATAAATATAACTATTCTCTAATTTCGTTGCATTTAATATTTTATCTTCATAATAAAGGAAACCAAATATTTAATACATAAATTCATAACATTATTTGGTATGTTATATATATTTTTAATTTTAATTTATGATTTCATTTGAGTATTACATTATCAAATGTGATATTTATTTAAAGATGAATCTAGTTTTGTTTTTATTTATAATTAGATTTAATGTCCATGAATATAATCAACACGTTTAATATTTTATCACTTTCTAGAATATGAATTATTTGGATTCTTATACTAGAAGAACTTGTAAGTTTGAAATACTTGCTGAGATATCATTTCATAATAAAAATCAAACTATCAAATTATTATGTAGTCGTCTTTTGGCCCGACATTGTTATAGGTGAATATGAATAATTAGTTTTAATTAGTTTTATTCATACAATATTAGTTGCAAATCAAAGTGTGATCAATGAAGTAAATATTTTGAAAGTTAATTACCTATAAACTATTTTGATGATTTTAGATGACATAATAAATCACTCATTGTTTTTCCATTATATAAATTTCATTCATAATTTTACATTTTAAATTTAATTCTGATGTTATAGTAAACAGGACAAAAACTGCTCAGAAATAATATTATCTTGTGAGGGGAATGATTCTCCAAGTATCCAAGAACAATTTTCAAATTTAAGTACCAGTGATGAATCTCAACAGAATGCCAAATGGTATGCATATTGGGAAAAATATGGAGAAGACTTTGTTAATGAAACATGGATAAAACAATATGAAAACTGTGGACTGGATGATTTTCCTACTAATATTGAAAATGCTTATCAAGAACACTGTGAACAACAATATAATGTATTGTATTGGAAGTTTATAAATGAAATGAGTATTGCTGATGCAAAAACTGAAGAACCTAATGATGAGGAGTCGTAAGTTAATGTTTAGTATACCTATCTTTTATCATGTTTCTATCTACAATTTTAGAAATATATATATATATATATATATATATATCAAATTATAAAATATAAACATTGAAAATTTTGTTAAATTAGTGAAAACAACCAATGTGGTTCAGATTATAGTAAAGAACTTGATCATGTTTCTAACTTTGATTTTCTCTATAAATATAAGTAAGTAAAATAATTAAATAGTATAATAAAATCTTGTTTTTGTAAAATATATTATTAAACAATTTTATTTTCAATCAATTTCACTTTATATTACTTACAAAAATCATTGTCTTCAGTAAATTATATACTACATTTTTTTTCAGACATTTTAAAAAAGTACATGACAAACTTGTCAAAGCCTATCAAGCAATAAGTATAATGGGATATACTTATAGCGATCAAAATACATATGAATCTGCTTTTGTTGAATATCTCAAAACAAATCTTGTAAAATCTACTCGACATCTAAACATGTACAGATTCCCAAAAACAGTATGTGTATTTTCCATTTCAGATTACAATATATATAATATTTTAATTCATTTTTTGAATGAAATTAAAAAAATTAATCAATTTTAAATCAATAAATTATTCACTTTCTATATAGTCTAAAATGTAGTAGTTATACTGACACTATATTTATTAATAAATACTGATTCTGAAAACTATTTTTACAAATTATTATTTGTTGATATTAGGGCTTGTTAGTAAGTAAAAAATTAAAATTTAGTAGTGTTAATTTTAAAATACAGGTTTTTAGAACTAAACATTATTAAGATATAAAATTATTATTTTACATACTCAAAAGTATAAGAGAAAAAGTTTTAAGTTATTATTCACACATTGAGATTTCTTTTAAATATATATTGGCTGTGCCTAATTTAATATTTTCTGATTAATAATTAAAAAAAATAAAATCATTTGATTTGTTACAGCATGTCTTTTACTTAATCACACTTTAGATATTAATGAAGAAAATATATAAACAACAAGCAATCATTGTATCAATACTGTATATTTATTTCCAATTGAGCAATATCTAAATTATATGGCAAATATACAATACTAAGTATTAAAAATTAAATTATATTTCAATTGTATTTAATAATTAAATAATTGGTTGATAGATGAACATTAATTTAACTATTTTAAAACTAAAAATCTGTAATTTTAACATTGTGTTTTTTTACTATAAATTGCTATATTTTCAATACTTTTAACATTATTAATACATTTTTTAATAACTGGGTTCAATAGTACATTTAAATACTATATTATATTTAAGGTTTTTCAATACTTTTTTTTTTTATTTTAAATTTTTTTTTTAAATCACAGTATGTAACTGTTAAAATTGATAATTATATTTTGTATAGTAATATATATTTTATTTTAATTACTATTTTATATTTAGCGTGAATTATCTAATGCCGATGATTCATTATGTGATTCTGATCATCTAGTGAAAAATAAAAGGGATAAAAGTAAAAAAACAATTAAAAAAGAAGTATGGAAACAAAATAAAAATAATCATGATTTAGAAAATTTTGAAAAATTTGGATATACATATTTACAAAATAATCCCAAACTAATGAAGTATTGGAAAAAAAGACATTTATTATTTTCTGAGTTTGAAAAAGGGATACAGTTAGATGAAGGTATTTCAATATAAACTGCAATATAATTAAAGAAAAATAATATTATTTTTAAATTTTTTTTGTAATTCATAATGATTTATTTATTGTATACATTACAAAATATGAAAAATTACATAATATTTGTTTTCAGAAAGTTGGTATTCTGTTACTCCTGAAATAATTAGCTATCACATAGCTGAACGCTGCAGTTGCTTTTTAATTGTTGATCCATTTTGTGGTGCTGGTGGTAATATTATTCAATTTGCTAAAACTTGTGAACTCGGTAAGTTAAATTATTTCAGACAATATAAACCTATTAAACTGTTATATTTATTAAGCTTAATAAAGTTATGTATTAGTTATAGCTATTGATAATGATCCGAAAAAGATTGAACTAGCACGACACAATGCAGAGTTGTATGGTGTTGCCGATCGCATTCAGTTCATTATTGGTGATTTCTTTGCATTAGCGCCAACTCTTAAAGCTGATGTTGTTTTCTTATCTCCACCTTGGGGTGGACCTGAACTCATGAATTTTGAAGAGTACAAACTGTCTAATGTGATGCCAGAAAATGGCGGTATACAGAATATACTGTCCTTAGCACGAAAAATTACATCTAATATTGCCTTACATTTACCAAAGAATACAAACATTTTTGATGTAAAAAAAAAATTATATTATGATAATAATCATAAGAGCTCAGATTTTAATGCTTTTAACATTAATAATACATTATAATTAAATACCTGGAAAAAATATAACAAATTTTTTTTTCTTTAACTAATAAAACTTCTTCTAAAAGTTATTTTTTATAAATGCATAATTTATGATAATAGTTTATCAAATTTTCAACCACTTTTCAACCTTTTGATAGTTAAGATTAAAATATTTTCTTAATTGCCTTATAGCAAAACCAATTTGATGATCAAAAATAATGTGATGTAAAAGTACAACAATTTTGTTATTTAAAACTAGTAAACGTTCTTAATTATTTAATATTTTAAAAATAAAAATAATTAAACCTAAAATGATTTAAATAATATCTTCTTGGATCATATTTACAAATGTGAAGGAATTGTATCAAAAATTGAGAACAATTTTTTAAAAGCATTGAACTTTAAGCCCTTGTACTCACTATAACCACTATAGTAGTAATTTACTGGACTATTTTTTTTTGTTTTCAGTGTATTAACTCAACTGATGACGATTTTGTCGAGGTGCAACAGAATGTACTTAACTCAAGATATAATTCTCTAACAGTTTATTTTAGTGAACTGTATGGACTCTGTGATGAAAATATTGATAATTTTGATGAAAATTTTGAGAAAATTGACTTAATATAATTATTTATATATAAGACTATTGGTTAAACATTTTATCATGGAAATATTATTCAATTTAGTATTATAACTATTAAGTAATATCTTGGCAATGGTCTTGTAAACTATCTACCATATTTTTTATGATTTGTGTATCCCTCTGGTTTTGTAAAGATTTATCAAAAATCATGTACAAAACAGTATAAACAAATATCCTCCTCTTCAATAATCTATTATATTTCTGTCAGTTTTTCAGTTATAAATTTCATTCTTAAATGCCTTCGCTAATTTTTCTTTATTTCCTAATATATCTATGTTTAACAAATATTAATATCGTTTTTATAACAAGCATTGCTATAAACACAGAATATATGAAATAATGTAGGTAAAGTATGTTACATAAAACATAATTCAAAAACTATTAAAAAAAAATTTAATTAGTTATGTACAGGGCTCGGGAGTTAAAGTATTCGCTTATTTTTATGGGTTGACTTAAAATGTAGCAGAGTGCTATAGAAGTGCATGTCAAGTTATAACACATACAATTAAGAAATTTTAAACGGCTTTTTTTTATTGCTTTTTTTCAGTAATTTTTCAAAAAAATTATTATTTTCAGTTTTTCTGATTATTTTTGCATATTTGACCAGTTTTTTTTTTTACATTTTTATAGTTTTCTTCTGTAAAGTCGTTTTTGATAGAATTAAAAATAAAAATTATTTTTATTTTATTTTATCTACGTTGTCATGTAGTTCGTCACCATCCGAGGCATTGTTGTAGGGTGAACAAAGATATTCCAACGCTGAATATAGAACTGAGTATAGAACGTCAGAATGATCAAAAACAGAAAGAACAGTTTACATTTTATTTTTCAGAAAAATCCCTTAGAAAATCCTTAGTCTTGAAAGTAAAGATTTATTTTTATTTTGTTTGATTTTTTAGTAAGAATTTTATATATATATATTTTTTTTTTTAATTAATATTTTTGCTTAGTTTTAAATTTTTTAAATGCTTATTTTAATGATTTTAAGTGCTATAAGTCGCGAGCCTTGGTTATGTTTAAAAAAGTTTTTACTTTTAAGTATTATTATATAAATATAAATACCATTTTAAGTATGATAACTTTCTCTTGTGATTCATGTGAATATTATTGTTGTAACAGTGTTGGATTCTTATAGTTAATGGTTAGTTAGTTTAAAAAAATAGATCGTGAAAAATATGGTAGCTTATTCAAGACAATATTATATAGATTGTAAATAGATTGCTTACAACATTGTTTCTTTTTACTTTTATATTTTGTTAATAATGTGATTGCCAAGAAAAAATTTAAAAAAATATATTAATGATGAATAAAAGACTAGTTGATATATCCTACTGACTCTATCTTTATGTAATAAATGGTTAAAAGTCATTCTTATCATTATCAGCGACAAGTTGTGATAATGAGGCTGTAAAAGTATTACAATATTTTATTAAAGAGCAATAATAAATAACCAATAACATGTTTCAATACATTTAGTTGTCTAAGCCAACCCTGTGTACTTGTCAGAGATCAATCTCAATACAACTTTGTTATGAGATTGAAGCCTATAGCTGTTATTTGTTATATACTATTTACAAACAATTGGGAATAAATCATACAGCAGCAAATATTAGGTTAAAAAATATGCCTGTTAAAATGAGATAAGGATTTTATTAGAAATTATCTTGAAAATACATAACCTTGAAATTACATTTCAAAACCTGTTTCAGATATAAATGTGGGTCTTAATTAATTAATTTACTCTTAATGATTTCTTGTCCTTGGTGTATAATAATAAGTATGTATTTTATTTGCTATGACAATAATATAATATATATATAATAATAAACTTTGAGGGCTTTATATTCAACTGATTAATGTATTGAATAGTAAAAAATGTTATAAAAGATGAAACTATTTTTTGTCAATTGTTATATTATTGATTTAAATATAGATCTTTTATGGTATTTTGAAATAATTTTTAAAATTATATTTAATTTTAGTTCTAAACGAACCATGGAATATTATCTTGCATTAACATTATTTTCTTTCCATCAAGAATTTCTATGAGTTTTTAACTATAAGAAAAACTGAAAAGTTACATTTGATGTACACATTTTTATTCTTTTTAATAGCTTTGAAAAAAGAAATTAATAGCTTTGAAGGTTTGACATTTATTTTGAAAAGCTAAGACTAACGCAAAATCGACTTATTTGTGCATCATAAATTACTTATATGACGGCGAAAGAGTATGCAAATTAATAGCACACGTGCTCTGTATTCCATTGCACCGTTTTGGGACCGATCACTACGTTATTGGACCCTAACATTTCGGCGTAAACCATTTTGGCGTGAACCCATTCCGGCGTGCATTCAATTCCCCTAGACTTATATTCTTCAATTTGATTTTTATTATAAACGTGCTGTATGCCGGTATAGTATATGATTTTAAACGCACTACATAAATGATAATTGTGTAAATTATATTATGCGATACGGCATCGGCCGACAATAATAATGAAAATAATGATTATCCCTTTACATATCTAACCTAATACAAATAAAATTAAAATAAACTAATGACAACTAATATTATAGGCTATCCCCTTTAAAAAAACTAATGATGTCATAATTATTATAATTATTATTATTATTATAATTATTTACAAGTTTTTTTATTCTTTTATCTACATCGATATAATTCTTATTTTTCCGTGGGGGACATTTTCCAGCTTTTAATTGATTATAAAATGTATCACGTCCAGATTGTACTTTTCTCAAACAAGAAATGAATATCCATAAGGTTGGATGCTTCACACTCGTTTGTAAATTAAGTCGTATGTTGGCGGCTGCCTCGGCATAGTTGTCTGATTTAAAAATCAAATAAAAAAATATAAATCTAAAAAAATTGAATGCACGCCAAAATGGTTAACGGCCGAAATGGCTACGCCGAGATGTACTATACCGCCACGTTTTACCATTGATTTTAGAATATATTCTAAAATCAATGGTTATACCTATGCTCTTTGTAGGTACTGTATGAATTGTAGATATTAATTTACGATTTTAATTAACTAAATCAACGAGTTCTAGTACTAACATTTCAACAGTCGTTGAACATGTAAAACGTAAGACTAAATAAACAATGTACATATAAATACGTGCACGACCGCGGAGTTGCACGTTAACACGTCTTTCCGATCAAAAAAAAAACCGTTCGATCGGTGTCCGTTTCCACCATTTTTTTTTTTTGTTTCGGAAACAATTTAATAATTTAATATATGTGTATGTACACGTGTAACGATAATATGTACGGTTCGAGAGAACGCAGTTCTCAAGCGCGTGTTTTGCTACAGCAGGTCGTTCAGCTGCTTTGTCGTCGCCTTGATCTTGGCCTCGCTGCTGGTGCCGCGGGCCACGCTGCGCTCCAACGTCTCCTGGATCTCCAAGAACGTTTTGCCGGTGGTCTCGATCGCGTACCGGTACGCGAAGCCCGCGCATATGAAGTTGACGGCCGCAAAGCCCCAGAACATGATGTGGTACCCGTACGCGTTGGACACCAACAGGAACATCTTGTTGGAGACGAACGACGACGTGGCGAGCGTGACGGACGCGATGGCGGAGCAGTGCGAGCGGATGTTGACGGGGAACATCTCGCCGAGGTACACGACCGGTATGAACCCGATGCCGATGCCGAACATAACGGAGAACATCTGGTGGCACGCGTACGGCCAGAACGTGTACGCGGACACGTCGACGCCGCGCGCGGCCAGGTAGTAGTAGAGCCCGAACAGCGCGATGATCACGCCCAGGCTGAGCTCGGAGACGAGCAGCAGCGGCTTGCGGCCCACCCGGTCCACTAGCGCCATGCCGACGAAGTTGACCACCACCAGCACGATGCAGAACACCATGATGTAGTCGAACTTGCCGATGATGGGCGCGGGCTCGGGCAGTATGAGCGCCGAGTACGCGGTCAGGCTGCTGATGCCGCCCGCGCGCTGCGCCACGCACGCCGTCACCACCACCATGAGCGCGCTGAAGTTCTTCCGGTTGGTGAACAGCTCGCGGAACGTCGACCGGTTCTCCATGTCCTTGCGCACGTTCGTCTCCATCATGCGCAGCTCCGCGTCCACGCCACCCTCCCGGTGCCCTCGATACCACCGCAGCGCCACGCCCGCGTCCTCGCGGCGGCCCTTCTTCAGCAGGTAGTATGGCGACTCGGGCACGCACACGAACATGACCGCGAACAGCACCGGCACCACGGCCGACACAGCGTTCAGCGTGCGATACGACACGTGCGGCCCGACGATCACTTCGAACAGCACGCCGCTGCTCAGCTGCACCGTGAACACGGTGCCCAGCGCTCCGCGGATGTTCACGTCCGCGATCTCGCCCAGGAACACCGGCACCACCGTGTACGACATGCCCTTGCCCATGCCGCCCATCAGCCGGGCCAGGTACAGCGCCCACGCGGTGGACACGAACAGCGGCAGCGACCACGACACGATGAACAGCGGTCCCAGCACGGCGATGGTCCTCTTCCGGCCGATCTTGTCCATCAGGTAACCGGCGAACAGCGGGCTGATGCTGTTGCCCAGGTCCATCATGCACACCACCCACGACAGTTCCGCGTAGCTGATGTCGATGTCCGTCTCGTGCTTCATGAACTTGTCCGACGCCGAGCTGGGCCATCCGAGCCACATGCCGCTGATGAATATCGACATAGACGCTGAGGAACGTAAAACAATGGTGTAATAATACGTGCGTCGACGCACAGCGGACCGAAAAAACGACTAAGCAGGTGTCACCCGCTAGTACGAACAATTATTCGGAGTCATAGTCTCTGGTCTTAGCACGTTTAAAATATTTTTTTAATGCTCGATTAAACCACAGTTGAATTGGAAATATTTTGATGGTTTTAAAAAAAAAATATATTCATCTACGCGGTAAAAAACAATGTAAAAGTACCGTCGACAACATAGAAATAATTATTATAAAGTAAATACAATCAGGTAGTTTAAGAGTTATTGATTTTTGTGTTTTGAATAGTTTGGATGATAACATTCGTGTTCCGATTATTACTTAAAAACTAAATTAATTATTAATATTTCAAAAAACCGTTTTTTACTCCGGATTTTTCATTGGCAAATCGTCAATCACTTCATTTTTATTTAAATCTCGAGTTCTGTTGTGTTTAATATTTAAAACATTTATGTTTATAGTAAGTCTTTTGTTTCCGATTGAGTTTTTTAATATTTTTTTATAATTTGAGTTTGGAAAAAATAACGTGTAACCCTCTGACGCGTAATTGTGACGGGTCATGATGTAAAAATTATACAAAAAAATTATTCATCTTTGTACAGATATCCCATATCATTAACAACAGTTTCTGAAATATTATGAAAATATCTTGTGTTTTTGGGGCCCCGTTTAAACACTATCGAGGTCCAATTGTGCTATGAACCCCCGATCATCTTGCTAGTTATAGCATTGTGTGCTTTATAATAACGATCTATGCTCGAGTCAACAATGGTTAATATTTTTACAAATTTTTTACTGAATTACCTACTCTCGTATTACAGGAAAGAAGGTATAAAATATTTTACGAGTGCCCTCCTCCCCCATGAATTAGTATTAAATATGTAAAAAATTAATGTAAATAATTAAAAGGTATTTAATTTAAATATTTTCGAAGGTATTATATTATTTTGCATAAGTTACCATACATATATATATTTAAATTATAAAACTTTCAAAGTCTTTGACAAATTATATTCTTATGAATACTATGTAAATTAGTCTTGTATCGGTATGGTATTGGTAATCTCGTTGTCGATGTTAATTGTTTAAGAATTGAGGACAGATGTCAAATAATCATTATAATTATGGTCATTAGTTTTAATTTTTGATGATAAGTATAAATGTTTTGTTTGATAATTGTATCGTATTGTATGTGTGCCACGAATGTATCATAAAATAATTTCGTCTTGTTGCAAAATAAAAATATATACTTATTTACATACTCTTGTTCTGTCCCCTTTTGTTGCCCCACAACCGATACCAAACTTCTTTATTTTCAGTCTCTTCTTATCATATATTCTCAAATATTATTTTCTTTATATCTAATGAATATTCATAATCTAAACTCTTAAAAAAAATTCTTATCCCATTTCAATTTTGTATTAAGATCAGGCTTAATAGTCATGCTGTTATGTTTATAATTAATAAAGGCTTTTTAATTTACAAAATACATATAAAAATAACAAAAATAATACAATTTTGAGTTTCACTATATTATGCTATGTTCTTCTAAATGCGTCATGTATCAATATTATAAGTATTTAAAATATTTAACGAGGCAGTAGTTACAAAAATAAATATTTTATATATTCAGTATGTAATCAATCTTTATTATATTAATTTGGTTATCATTTAAATTTCTTTAATTTTTAATTTTCTTAATTTTTAAGGCCATTACGAAAAAATGACTTATAATTTATGAATGGAAAAATATATTCTTATTTTATAATATTTTTTCATAATGTTTTCTATAATTTTTTATTATGATAATGTTATATAAAAACGGTTGATGTTAATTAATCACTATTCATTATCTTTTCATCCTTAGATAATGATTGCATTTTTGGTTATTTCCATATGTCTTGGATTTAACAGGTTTTATTTAATTTTTTAACCTTAGAGTATCTAACCTAACCTAACTGTATTATGTTTTGGGATCCTAGATTTATTTTTAAAAATACGGGACATTTTAAGTCATATCAATTTTTGAAATTCTCATTGGTGTTAATTGGGGGAGGTGAGGGAACTTATGTTAGCAATTTTCCTCACAGTTAATAAATATATTATAAAATAAAGTTGAACACAATATTTGTTACTTCAAACAAATATAAATTATAATTAAAATTAAAAACAAATAATTAGGTGACTTTACTATTTTTTAGATTTTTTTTTTTTTTTTTATGATCAAATATTATTAATTTCATTTGATTCAGATGTTATAGTTTATCAATAATATTAAATTTAAAAAGCTTACCGATATTAAAAAATTTAATTTTTAAAATAAAGTATACACAAAATAGACTATACAAAATAAGGGACAAGAGTGTTATTTTTATACTTGTGTCGGGACATCGGGACACTTTATTCAAATATGGGACAATCCCGTAAAATACGGGACCTATGGGATCCCTAATTATGTTAGTGTTAAAATTCATTGTAGTTGTACTATTATAATCATATTATATGTAAACGGAATCATTCGATCTTATATGTGATCTATGATTTAAATATTTTAAGTAAGGATACGCATATTAATCGATGTTATAGATTCTGAAATATTTTGTTTTATATTTTATAACTATTAACGTTAATTAATTTACATTAAATTTTTAAAATTATATTTAATATTACAAGCATATTGTCGAATTAAAAGGAGAACCTTGTTAAGAATATAATTTATCAAATTTTAATTTATAGAAATTAATTTTTTGCTTGAAAAAATATATTATAAATATATTATTATATAAATAACAGTTAATATATTAATAATAATTATTAATAATAATAATAATATAATAATAATATATTAATAATAATTAACTATATAAATATTGTATTGCTTTTTTAGTGATAATTAAATTTGTTGAAAACGGAATTATTTTACTAACCGGCTATTGTGGCGTAGAACTGTCTACATACCCCTGATTTAAGCAACTTCATACTTTCTTAATCTTCTGCTCCTAGTTAAATCATCAATAATAAGAAACTCTGAAAAACAAAAATATAAACAAATATCAAATATACAGTATATTAAAATCAAGGAAAAATCTACTTGAAGTTTGTTATTTGATTCATTAAACTAAAACAAAAAACAATTATAATTATTACGAATACGAAATTGATATAATATTATATTTAAAATATAGTAAGTAGAGTAAATATTGTAAATATTTAAGAAATCAAAATGCAGCTGTTTTCTGAATATTAACTATCTTTCTTCTGCATGCAATATTTATGATTTGAATTACATTTTTCTACGAGAATATGGTAAATAGTCAAATTTATTTTTTGAAAATTTTATTTCACGTAAATTTCAATATGCTAGGTTTTTTTTGTATTTATGCTTCTCAAAAAATCTTAAAAACCAAAAACGTAATGAACATTATAAATAAATAATGTATGTTTGTACATGTAGCCCATAGGTAGTATATAATAACCTTTCGATTGTTAACGTACACATAAATCTATTGAAAAATAATTATTGATTTATTATATTTATTGTAGAAATTTCGTTTGGAGTATTAACTTAAATTTTATATTCATTTAATTGATAACAGATTATTAGTATGGCTATTTTTTAGATTGTATTATTATTATTTCATTTAGTAATTTATAAAAATCATAGTTACATAAATATTTAAGTATTAAGTTACATTTTTATACTTAATTATTGTAAACTCAGTGGCTCTTTATGCAGACATTAAATATGCGCATTAAACGTTCCACTCTATTACAACTTATTTGTTATAATCAATATTAAATATTATATATCCGTATCAATATTAAATATTAAAAATAACAAAATTATTAGAGTACGAAAATAAATCTGATACTAACCAATGCGTCATTAAAACACAGCAAACGTAACTTTTTTCTCCGAAGAACAAAGTCATTTTCAGTGATAGGCAACACCTTTTGTTGTTGCGTAAGTTAAAATATAAAAATATTTCTATAATAATGATTCGTAAATTATTATGATCGGCAATGCCAACCGCGTGCTAACTAAAGAGCAGACGTACTGATTTATGAAACATAATGTAATACATGAAGTTACGAGTACATAAATGTATTATTATGGTGTATTTATTTAATTTATTGATAGATTAATGCGTTGAATAATCGCGGATTGCTGTTCGTAATAATTATAAATTATTACATTATAATAAGCTTCGTAATTAAATTTAATGCTATGCAAGTAAATAAAACGACCAAGATTTATCATGCTTTAATAGTCTACAAATCATTTGTCAAGTTTTCGACTATATTTTGAAGTCCATCATGATTTAGGCACCACATTGGTTTTATACAATTATGTGTTTTTCTATTATATGCATGGCACTTCTTTGGAATCCAATTTTCAAAAAAAATTCAAAAAACTTGACCGAGTATAATAATTATACTCTATTAAGTGTTATATATTATTACTCATCTGGATTAATTAAATACGTTATTTTACAGGATTTTTATAGTTTATTTTTTCAATTAAATATGTAATTGAAATATGGGGTTAAAAAAAAATATATATTATATCTAATGATGATTTCAAACAAATTCTTAGTTTTTTGATAAGTATTTTTAGATAAACCTCTTTATACGCAGAGAATCATTTTCTGAGCATAATGATACATATTTATTTATACTTAGTGTTTATCATTTACGCTATTTTCTATCTAGAACCGATATAAAGCAATGTTTGGAATTTTTTTATTATCATCCATCAGATATGTTTTTAGTAATTCTTATTATACTCTTCCGTGTTAAGCATTATACGTAGATAGACAATATATTAAGCCATACATTTTTATACCCAGATATAAAAAAAAAAGAATTTTTGGTATTCAGCGTTATAATATATTCATAATATTATTTTAGATAGAGTATTGTATCGTTTAAACTTAACGGTTTTATCATATTTACACGCGTTTATAATCATAAATAATAAGACCTTAGAAAGTTTAAACGCATTTTAAAGTGTAGCTTATATTCATAAGCAATCAATTGCAACCAGTTTGTTTATAAACAGCCTATCAACCAGTATTAATTACAATATTTAGATTATTATATTTTAAGCCATTTATAAATATAATTTCAATTATTTAGATAATGCATGAATACAGCTGTCATTCATTTTTTCGTCGTAGTAAACAAATTCGTCTGGTCAATTATTTTGTTCCGTAATATTTACAATCAACTATATGTGCATAATAATATTTTGACCAATATCTCAAAGTAAAAATATTACTTTTGTTGGCGCGACGAGTACCCAACAAAAAACGTGGAACTCGCTTGTTCGGCAGTTCAATAAAAATAAATAAATGAATTCCAATAAACTTAGATTGTAGAACTATTAAATATGCCCACGGCAACAATATAAATATGTAATAATAAAATGACAATGGTACAGCTAAAAATATAAGAATCTACAATAATGACACAGTCGGCTCTCCACAGTGGCGCAACTAAACTTTACAATAATAATAAATGCCCTCGCCCGTCGGCCGTTAACAACAGCGCTATCAGGTCGCTGTCGACAGATGCCGAGCAAACGCAATGCACCGTTATGCATCGCACGAAAATGATAACAAATAAATAAACGTATTGAAAACAAATATTGTTCACGATGCGGACAACTTTATTCACTTAATTAAAATTTTAACGGAAAAAAACTAAGTATGTTAAAACAATTGTGATAATGATAATAATAAAAAAAAAAATTATGGGTGTATGGGTGTTTTGATCTTTTAAAATTTATAACCAACGTACCGTTGCTCTCGTAAAAACGATTCTAAGTAAAAATGAAAACGGGTGCATCGGTTGGGAGTTTCCCGTTTCCGCCAAAAACGAAAAAAGTATGATTCCCGTTTCCTCCAAAAGCTATTTCCAACAAAAAAGTTTGGAAACCATTGGTTTTAATTTTTAAGCAATATTGAATATATGTTATGGTATGTGTAAAAGTAATCTTATACATGATATAATATGTTAAAAATAGTTCTACATTTGTGTCACGAAAACAAAAACCAACGATTAAATTAAATTTAGAATTTATTGCCTTGACCTATATAAGGTTTAGATTTTATTAAAATAAAAATTACTGAATTATAATACATTTAAATGTATACATTTCTGATGCGTAATTTTTATTTTTTTTTAATTTTGATATTAAATTAATATGTATTTTGTAAATATTTTGTTATTATTTTGTTATAGTTATTTCTTTTTATGCATATTTTCTATACGAAATAGTTTCGATGATTCGAATCTGCAAGGCGTTCCACGACGGGTAAGTTTCTTTAATTTTCTTACTATAAGTTTGTATATTTTGAAATTTGCTCTTTAATTTGGTTGATATTGAAATTCTATGATTTCATTATTTTTGATAGCACACATAAATAAATCTTGATTTTTAATATCATTTCACGTGGTATAAAACATTTAAAACCTTTAATTATAAATATAAATCAATAAATATAATAAGGAAAATCAATTAAAAATAACACCATGAATGGTATATAAATTATCAAATAAATACAATATCCATGGAAAAAAGATAATTTTCATAATTATTTTTCAATTGCTTCAGCTGAGACCTATATAAAACCTATTTAAAATTAAGTAAAATTATAAAATTAAACAGTGGTCAAATTGCAGTCTCAAATTTTTCATTGCCTCTGCGACAATGACCTTGACATTTTCAACTATAGTTTAAAATATATTTAATAATAGCATAGTTATTAGTATATTAATTTTAATATAATACAAATAATCTGTAATTATTGTGCTAAAATTATACAAAATATTTTAATCAAAAATTCACAAGTTTGTGCTTCCCTATTTTTCCTTCAAATTGGATCAAAAACAAAACATGTGTGACAATAATAAAGTTGAACAATTTATATATCCCAGTTAAAAAATATTTATTTTTTTATATACATGACAATCTCCGATTTCGTGTGGGCATAAACTACATTAGGACTATAATGTATTCAGAATAAGATATGGGGTGGAGCATCAAAACCGGTTGATCCAGGTGTACTTATACCTCGTACCTTCTACACTACACTACTGTAAGCAACCACTGACTTCGATATCTTCTTTTTATGTTATAGAGTAAAAAATGTAAAAATTGAGATGATTTGAAATTAATTATATTTGTTATTTAGTTTTGTATTATTTAAATTTAATATTTTTTTATTGTTTTTTATTAAAATAAATAATTATTTTCCTTTAAAGTGGTTGTCAAATGTTTTACATTCTAATTTCATTATATATATATATATATATATAGAGAGAGAGAGAGAGAAGGGAGATGCTGACCAGTGAGAAAGTAAGGGTAAATAAGTAACGTTTGCTATAGTTTGATCATTTGCCGCCTAATCATTCAAAAGCGAATTTTTAATTTTTAAATAACTGTTAATTAATAATAGTTTTTATGTCAATTTCATAAACAGTCTAATATTAAATGTAAAATAAGACAATAGTAAAAATTTGACTAAAAATAATCTAGTGTTCAAAAAATATTGTAAAAAAAAATTATACCCATTTTAGTTATTATATTTTATAGTTTTGTAAATTCATCATCATATCAGTTTTTCTTAATCATAAATATTTTATCTACATTATTAATTATGCATTTTATCATGTATTTGATGATATAAATAAGAAACCAATAAATAAAAATACACAATAATACAATAATATTATATATTGCAAGAAAAAATAAATAAATATTATGTAAACAAAATGTAAAATGTTATTAAAGTAATGAAATAAATATAGAAAACAAGTTTAAAAAATTAAACATTTCTTTAATATTTTAAGTCATCTTCAATATCGTTGATTATGTATTTCATGTTCGGTGAGTTGGCATTAACTTTTTCATCATTATATATTTTATCGAATCTATAAAATATTAAAACAGATAAATTTTATTTTATAATATGAATTCAAAAATATTAATATTTACCCTAAAAACACCATTATCTTTGACAAGTAATTTGTTTTCAAAAAAATTTTATCTGATTTGAATATTTTCGAACAATGCTACACGAATTATCGATAAAACAAAATTAGTTTGGTCGTTTTTCAATAGACATAGTATAATAGGGGATAACTTTTGGATAATATCCTGTAAATATTAAGATTAAATAATATTTATTGTATGTTGAAATTTAAAATGGAAAACAAAATTGGAGAAAAAAATTCATTTACTATTTCAAAATTAATTATTCAATTATTAATTATCTTATTAATTAGTTTTACATGATAAAATGAAATAATATTTATAATTCGATCGTGATTAAATATTTTGAAATTATAAGTCAAAATATTTTGATCAAGTGTGATATCGATCGATATCCTCCGTATAAAATAAGAGTATACATTATATGTATAATATTATTTATAGTATAATTACATTGCTGCATCGAATCCTTTTCTTTTACGAAGTCAAAACACTCACGTTGAATGAATTCAGTATGGATCTCTTCGTAATCGATTGATCTGGATCTGAAACTAAAATCGACAAAATTAATTCATCCTAATCCAACCTGTTGTTGTCGCAAACTCCGATTTTCCAAAGATATTAAAATAACTACCCTAATTTGCTGTTAAACGAATTCACAAACATCAATACTACTCAAATTATATTAATATTTAAGCCGATGGCTCAGTTTCATCGATTTTAGTTGTTTAATCGTTTTAAACTTCGACACTCAAATTAACTCGCATGGGTTTTGAATAATCGATAAAAGTATCAATATTTGAAACTCAATTTAGAATAATATTATATAGTTACCTTCATGAATTCATTTGTCGAGGTACATGTCATATCGTGTATTTAACGGTCTTAACGTTGTTGACATAACTTTCTCTAAACGAATCACGTTCTAGTATTAATAGATGCGCAAAAGCTTTGACCATGCTAGATTAGACTAGAAATACGAATAGAACTACTAATTACGACTAGAAATAGAAAAATGGCGTTATTAGAAGATCTATTAAAATATTACATTAATAATATTTAAAATGTTACTTTTGATAATTTCAATCCAGTCATTTGTAATATTTTACATAAACAGTTAACTTGTAGTTCTCCATTTTCTTTTAACACATCTGTTATCAGCCAACAATGTTCTTAATTTCTCAATGGAAGTAGAATAAATACAAAATTCTAATTCTAATTCTAATTCAAAATATATTATATGATATGTGTATCTGAAATAATATGTAATTTATTTATTAGTTGGATTTGACAATAATGATGTTACTGATTTCTTATTGTGGTATCTAATTGTTGCTCGGTACGGATGTTTATTGAAAATTTAATATTTATATTCAATAAACCGGTCATTGGCAAAATTAAAACAGAATAATCCTAAAAATATTCATATTTCACTTATTGAAATTGTTCTATTTTAAGGGAGAGAGGGATGATAGAGTTATCACTTTAGAGCTCAGAGCTAAATAAAATAAGACACTAAAGGAAGTACTTAGAGGTATCCATTATTTTTTTTAAAATAGTTCGTTTTCTATTATTACACCTATATAATATATTTATACAATTTTCTTAAACAATGTCCTTATTTTTTAGTAAATTATTTTAAGTCATTATTTTGGGTACAAGCTTAGTCTCATATTGGGTACATATAAAACTACCGAACGATGCTCTTACAAGAACTGTTCATTGTGTATTTCATGTAGAAATATAAAAATATTAAACAATTATCTTTTTAATATAATACTTATATATATTTAGAACGTTTTTTTCATGAATTTAAGACGGCTTATAATGTATTAATTTTTATAAATGATTCATGAAAAATTTAAAATATTCCTTATTTGAAATATGTCCTAATATATACAATTTATCATTGATTATAATTTATAAATAGTATTTACTTATCAGGTATCAACTGTATTATATTCTTCCGGTTGTGTTGAGGAATTGTCTATCAGTTGAGATTGTGGCTCTTCAGGAATTCTTCGACGTTTTTGAGGTAATCGTCGTATGCAAAAAGATTATTTCCTCTAATCCAATGTACACGACGATTAACAGATATCCCTATGGAAATTAAAAATAATTTTATCTTTGGTATCAAGATCTTCTAAAAAACACAATGTTATCTATATACACCGTACAGTTTTTACAACTTACCATTAGAAAACAAGAGCACTTTCTTCTGTATCTTATTTACATTTCTGTTATTGTTATAATTATTCGTATTCATCTAAAACACATTATCAACATACAAAATGAACTTGTAAATGTGAATTGGATAATGGATGGATGATTATAGTTATGCCTAATTATTATAAACGTTTAATGATATCAAAAAATACGTACTCCGGGACCTAGGAAAGCCAAAATTGAATTCGTCTCCCTGTCAATACATATTTTCTCCGTATTAATAGAGTATTTAATATTTCCTAATTGGTACAACTGTAAAAAAAAAAAGACATTATACGGATATTGATGCTCTCGTAACACGATATATGGACTTACATATGACACTTCCTGGTCCTTCATTAACCTAATTAAAACTTTCGGCGCCACCCTATTTGCCAATTCGGTTAACTTCGCCATTTTTTCTCTAGTTATAGTTACTGGTGGTGACGTGACGATGCCATCTACCCTCTGCAGCGAGTGGATATGGGCATATAAGTCGCCCACCAGGAAGATGATTCGGTCTTTGACACCGTAGACACGAGCGTTGTTCCGGGCGAACGCGATGTTAAATTGCCATCGCAATGACTGTACAAAGAACGCGAACTGTTACGAGTCCAATGTTAGTATATATTATAATATAATACACAATTAACGTGTTAAATAATATGACAATAATTTTATTTTCATGTTGTCAGCAATTTACCTTTGTGGCAGACCATGGCCAGTTGGATCGCGATCGCACCGGAACCTCAAAACGGGTCTATCACAGTATCTAGCGACTTACACTAGGAAGCCATAAGTTTTGCCAAAACTTCTGGTGGCCCGGAGTAAAGGGTCGCTATAAAAATCATAAAATTATGAAACCACAAACGTAGTCAATACTATTACTAAAGATGTTCGTCTGTCTAACGTACCTGGGTCTGCCATTATGCCGTCGTTGAATTTTGAAAATTGTTTAAACCGATTTTCCCACAATTTATAGGTGACGTTCAATTTCTGGGAATAGTACGTCGTAATTAGTAAACATTGGAGAGTTCATGCAGATCACATTATGTGAACATTAGATAATATCCTGTTGATAAGTATCGTGTTATGTGTATTTGTTCGTTTGGTGTTAAACTGTTAGCGACCGTTTTACTGTGATCGACTGTTACCAACGATCAACGGTAAATTATTTTACCGCCCTCAAGTTCACAAAGTATTGAAACGATAAAGTTTTTTTTTTTCAAATCCACTCAAGTGCGGTTGTGGGAAACAAATGTTGGTGTCGACAAATGAAAAGCGTAAATATTAATGTTCTCTAACTACACTGCGCACTAAAGCAAGTCGTATCGCGTACGTGAAAAATATGCAGAATCCGGAAAGGGTGAGGGGGTCCGTTCGCGTTGAACATAACCGTAAATAATTAATGGTAATGTGGTTTTGCACTCACTTTGGCGCGATTTTTTTCCATTTTTGGTACAACATAGGGGACGATTTCGTCTTCGTCGTCACCGAACGGGCTACCTTGTTCCACCGTCACGCAGACACTAGTCGCCGAGTCGACCGCGTCGCAAATCGATGCGGTATGCGCTTCCTCGTTAGCTTCGATAATGTCGGACACGACTTCACTGGCGAACGGGTAAATCTGCTTGCACACATCATTCAACGTTACGCAGGAGTCGCCGCATGCGAAGTCACGTTTGGCCATTCGTGCGCCGACGGTGGTGATGGACAAGGAGTCCGTTTGCGAGTCGCAATCCGTAAAGGCTGCGGGACTGGGAGCCAATCGACCACCGACGTCATCATGAACCAGAGGGTCGTATCGCGGTTCTTCCGATCCGGCGCAGCAACCATGATGTGCGAAACCTCGACCGGCTAAAGCGGGAAAAATACGAGCGTGATACGTTAAGAAAATCGGAAAAAGAAGAACGGAGATAGAAAGTTGTCGTAGCGCAAATAGAACATCAAACATACTCACCTTGGTCCTTTGTCAACCAGACCAGGAACCGTGGCCATCCGCAAATGATACAGAGCGCAATCAATTGCAATCGCTCGTCGTTGTCCCTGTCCATCACCTGAGCAGGAGCACTACGGCGGTCGGAACTGAAAAATATAAATATCATGCATCTCAAGCACGGAGGCTCTATCGATTGAACGTCGGATGCGAACATTTCTCGACAGAGCAGAAACGTCGTTGTTATCCGTTCGCGGCGCGTTATTGTCGTGCCGTACGACGTGTTACGATACTGTCGTGTAGATCCGTTTACCTGATAGTCAATCCCATTTTATTGAGTTGATTTGATGATGTTGATGTTATTGATGAATTCACACTTGAGATACCTTAACGCAAAATCAGAGCAAGAAATCGTTGTGCTGTTACGCAAGGCAATGTCGAATGTTATCGAAATCATTTATTCAAAAGTTATAATTAAGTTGCAATATATTTGTCGAGTAACGTTTAAAGTAGGTTACATAAATGGCCAGTGCAGAAAAAATACGCAACTTGAAATCAAATTTATTAGTTAAATAATAAAAAATAAAATGTTATTCTTACGGATTGGCTGTAACTATCAAATTTCGCCATTTAGTTCTTCCTAAAAATCTGTTACCCATTATAGATATTAGGTTAAATTCTTCAGGTCAGTATCACCACATAGATTTTAATTGATTTAACCTTTTATAGGAAACGATTAAGATTAAATAGCATAGGCAAAATTTAGGGGGGGGGGGAATGAGTGTGCTTAGCACCTCCAAATGTGTTCATGTTAATTTAAATTTAAGTACTCAATACTCATTATGCATAGAAAAACAAAGTTTTCATTATATAAATATATAAATTGATTATTTAAATAATTGTAGTGGAAGTTCGTCCTTCATATTCAGTCCTCAAACTGGATAATACTCGTAGTAATATATAGAGTTGCCAGATTTTGAAATCCCTAAACCGGGACATTATATTGAATGACTCTTTTTTCATTTTGATATGATAATAAAATAAGTATATAATTTTATAATTTAAATATTTATTGGCTAATACAAAAATACATTATTATTGTGTATAACCAAACCGATTAGATTGCCATAATATAATTATATAATGTACTCTATTATTCTGTGCAAAGGTTCAATATAAAAAACAACCATTTATAAGTGTATTTTACCATTTTCAGTATAATTATCGGTAGGTTCCTTTTTTTATCAACTTGATTAACATTTATTGTTGGACGAAGAAATTTTTTTTGTCGACCAAATATTTATGTGTTCAAAGTTTCATTATGATTGGATGGACCAATTTTTTTTAATAAACATTTAATGTTAAAAATTTATGTAAAACAGTAAAATCCGTAAAAATCGTTGGTATAATAATTTACTTAAAGGCTTATGAAATCAATTTCAGACTAGCAATTTTTAAAATTTTTTCAGTATCGTTAAATAGGTAAGTAATCGTATATAAGTAAGGTGATATTACATTTTCACATTATTATATTTTCATTTTACATATTCAAAAATAAAAATTTCATTACATAAAGACTTTCAAAAAATTAGGTATTTTTATGGATCTATATTTAAACTAAAAGCACTTTTTAAAATATTAAAAAAATATCTTTGTTATATGGTTAAAGTTTCAAGTTTCTAGCCACATTACTTTTGGAATTATGACTAAATAACTAAAATCTGAAAAGTGAAAGTCTTATTTACAGCGTATTTTTACCGTTCCAGGAAAGTTTTTTCCTCACACCTGGAAAAACTATTAAGATTTAAAAAAATTACATACCTAAAGTACCACCGTATGCCAATTTAAAATCTAAAAAAATTTTGGACCAGTATTTACGATTATATCCGAAAAAGTGCTAAAAAAATTAAATACAAAAATCTTTATAAAATTATAATATCCTTCGCTTCACTCAGAATCGAAAAGTGATCATGATCATTTGTGTTTACAGACTGGTAATTCGTTATATGCGCAATAAAAATATATAATATATATAAGTCAAAGTAAACAATTTAAATTTAGAAATATTCAAATATTTACCAAATATTTTAGTAACAGTGGAATTGTACGGGTTGCGGGTGTCTATAACCAATAAAGAATATAAAAAATATAAAAAGGATTCAGCATCCCTAGTTTTTTTTATTGAAATTGCGCCCGTGGTGGCCGGTAAAGTATATTTCTTCCTGATTTTTATTATTTAGTATTAAATATAAATTTATTTTATTTTACTCAAATTTAAATATTATAGTTCTAAAATAAAGTAATAATAATAAGATATACGTTGAAATAGACTTATTTAAAATATTTACTCGTCTTTGATTATTGAAGAATATTCATTGGCGTATCCAGGAGGGTAAAGGGTTTATAACCTCCCACCAATAATTGTTAATGTATTATTATTGTCCATTGATTATAATAAATACACACAAAATTTAAAAAAATGTAATGTTACATTTTTTCTACCCCCCTCTAAAAAAAAAATATTGTCGATACGCCACTAAAAAATTTTTTACTTTATTTTATTTATAAAAAAATTAATATTTAATAACAAATTATAACTTGTATATTTAGGTAGCATACTTATCACATAACATTACTCATCTGTACATTTAAAATTTTTGACTTGGTATTTTAATAAAATCATTTATAATTAGGTGATCCGTTAAATTTCTATTTTAGATAATATATTAAATGTATTTTTTCATGAAACTTCGTTCAAAATCATAAATTTAATGCACTAATTATTTATTTCTTATTACGATTTTTTCAAAACTTAAATTATAATAGCAGAATTTATCTTAGCAGTAAATATTTTTTTTACCGAAAAAATTAGCATGTAACACATTAAATTAAAGTTTAAACAAGGTGAATATTCATAACACATTAATAAAATGTAACAATTGATAATATAAAACTTAAAACGCTAAACGTTAAAATTGCCCACAATTACTAATATTGTATTACATAACATAGCATAACATCAATTATTTTCGCTTATGTATATTATTTATTTAAAATCGTGCTATTAATATATTTGATTTTATTGACATTACTGTCTATGAACTATGCCCATGTTTATGACAGTACCACGGCTGTAGGTACTAATCACTATCATATTATATTCAACCGTGGATAGTATCTATTAATCTATGTTATATACAAATGATTTAAAGTCATATTAAATGTATAACACCATGAGTACTCTATTATCCAGTAAATAATAAAAATAAGCGTTAAAATAGTTATAAGTACATAAAAAAGAGGAAGCAAGGAGTTCCTATGGGGTATCCCTATGGTGATATACAAAAACTATTAAAATTTATCAAATCTACCAAATTTACTGTAAATTTACATAAATTTTTCTCGGTAAATTACAACCAAAAAAAAAAAAAAAAACAACATTTTATATTTCTAGTGAAAGAAGGTATCTATGGATATTCAACGAAGACGAGTGTAACATCCGGTGTGATGATTTTTTTATCTCTGCTTCATAGCATACTTAAGTTATTCTCATAGATATCTATGGTTATTTTATTAAAATTGGACGTAGGAATATTTTTTATGGTATAATATGAATATATAACAATACAATGTTTTTTTTTAAATTAATGTATGCTTAGCTTGGAATTTTATATATAATAATGATAATAATATAAAGCGAATAGGTTCGAGTTCAATGCAATAAATGTGATGTCATAATCTTAAGTAACAAACATGAAAAATCAATTTATAAGTCTGAGAAAATAACTCGTGATTATTGTCGATGTCTAGACAACTAATAAGTGAAACATTAGGACAAAAAACATATTATTTTAATGGCTATATTATCTTTAATTATAGTGCTTGGCAGTGGTGGTTTATGGATTTTTTTGTGGATGGAGGTTTCTAAATACTATCTTATAATATATTAACACACACAAATGTTTAATCCATTAATAATTGATTCTTTAAAATGTAATTCTTATAAAATTGAAAAAACAACATAGCATTTTAAGCCCGAGCGTCCTAAGTGAATAATATATCAAAACTTAAACTAAGGACCTTGACCGCCTCCTACAGTAAAACTACCACTGGTGCCTACAAGTGCCTTGCACGTGATTGTAAATAGGTAGAATCTAAATTCTCGCTTTTTAATTAAAATTTCTATAATTTCTCATGCTTAATATATTTACTATGGTGGTTACTTGTTATCTTCGTTTTTTAGATGAAAAAAAAAATGTATCATATTAATATTCGGGAAAACTTGTCTATAATAATTAGAACGCGGATTTGTATGCATTCGCGTATTTATTCTGATTAATAATCAGTATTTATTCTGATTAATATATAAATATACTATGTGAACACAAAATTGGTATAAACATTTAAACTATAAAACTTTTTTAGTGCATCTTTTACATATTTCAACATTTGGTCATTTTTTTGGCTTTAAGGGGTGTTTAACCATTTTAATTGCATATTTCATCTTTTAGCACATATTCAGGAGTTTTTTTTAGATCTTATCTTAATAATTACCATTACAGAATAAAAATACAATATAATCACTAAATATCAAAAATAATTGGAAAAAGTGAATCAATTCAACCTAGATAATTTATTTCCAAATGATATGACATTTTTTTAAATACTCGCTTATTATTTTAATTAATGGTCTGTGAAAATATAACTAAAATTATTGTAATAAAATGCAATTCAAATTTAGGTAAATACATTTCTTTTTAGATATATTTTTAATATTAATTGATTCATACATTTTTTTTATAGATTAAAACTATCCATATGACTTTAGAAATGAAAATAGTATAAGTATTTATAGTAATTTAGTGTTCCATAATTTTAAATTAATTTTTTTATTATTTTATTTTTATTATTCAGAATAAAATTTTTTTTTTTTTTTTGATTTTTAAGTGCATATCTTTTTTCGTGCATATTCGAGCATTTTAGTACATATTTTTTTTTGGTTAGTTTTCAATGCATAAAAATTCGCGATCTATTTCTTTTTTGTTCGAATAAGTTTTTATTAATAACTATCTCGAACAAACATATATTCTAAAAATCCATTAAAAAATACTAACAATGAAACTAGGGTGTAATAGATGGCACCGATTTCTCATATATGTAAAAAGGCGAAGCACGAGGTAAAATATTATGTATTTTATAAAGAATGCGCACAACAGAGATCTGCTTTTTCCCGGTGGACTTTAAATTTACTCGTATATAATGAAAGTATACATAAATACAATAGTAAAACGTAAAAAATATATATGTACGTATTTATAATATTTTGAAGATTTTGAAGTTGGGAAAATAAGAAATAAAAAACGAAGATGGGAAAATACACGTTTCAAGTGCTAGTCGTTGGAATATTTTCGGCAGATGCTGCTGGACCGGTTTTCATGGCGTGGCGGGTTATTTAGAAATTGTATTATTCTTTTCTCCTAAATCACCAAACCTATCACACAAGTTCCCCCTTGTGTTATAATACAATACGATAATAGTAATATTATAAAGAAGGTTCATGGCCATCGAAATCCCAGTAGATTGTTTACTGGCAGCTGGCTAGCATTTTACTGCGCAGTAGAAATTATCAGGACGCCTCACGCGTAGTCAGGTCCATTATGTGTACACGACCCTCCTAACGATAATACATTATAAAACACCATGTGTGTGTTCATATGTCCTGCAGATGTATTTTTGTGGGTGTGTGTATGGTGCAGCTGCAAGTCACAAAGAATAAAAAGGTTGACGCCTGATTTTTCAAAATGAATTATTGTTTATCGGAACCGTGAGACCGGTCGTTAAGACGCCCGAATTTCTGGTTTATAGAATAAAATACTTTTAGGGTAGGCCTACCCAGATAATGTTTTCATCAGATTTATTAAGTATAATGTATTTTACACAGAGTCATAGCAAGGCTCATCAGAGCCCCTGGATTTTTCATAAATTTCCGATTTTAAAGATTTTAAAAATTTGTACTACCCCCCCCCCCCCCCCCCATAACAATTTTATCTATAGACCCCATAATTATTTTATTTAATAATACATATTTATAAGTTATAACTATGTATTACAATATAGGTTTTAACCATAAATTATATTATTATTTATTAAGAATAATGGGGTTAAATTAAATATAAAGACATTGTTTTTGGATATTTTAACATTTATATGTTGAACGTTATTGTACTTTCAAATGTTTTTCAATGTTTTTGCTTAATTAAAAACGTAAATCTATATAATACTTATATATTTAAAAAAATATAAAATAATTATTACATTTAAAAATTATTTTTTTTTTATAAGAAAATTATATTATACATAATAATTTTTAATTTAAATATTTATATCCAGGCTTTAATTAAATAAAACAAATAAGTAAATTACATTTTTTTTTCTATAATAATCGAATTAGGGTTTTCAAAATGTTATTAAGCAATTCGAATACATATTTATTTGTGTCATGAAAATGAGAAAATTGTTATAGATAAATTAAAATGTGTCTTAGAAAAAAATTAAGAATATAAAACTATTAAAAATTACACTGAGGTTATGTCAGGATATTAAAATGTTAATTTAGTTATAACACCAAATTTTTAAATTATTTTAAATATGCATCGATAACAAGTGTAGATGTTGAACGCACTTTTTAAATATATAAATATATTTTAAGTAACAGACAATAGAATTTTCAAGAATACGATTTAGAAATGTATTTAATTATATGTTTTAATTTAAAAAAATGATATATTTTGTAAATATTGTATTAATATTATTATATAAGTAAGTAATTAATGAAATATTTGATATGATTTTACTATGTAATTGAATGTATTTTTCATTGCAATTTTAACATATTCGTACTGCAATTTTGATAAATTTTCATTGCAATTTTGGCATCTTTTTATTGCAATTTAAAGATATTTTTAATGCAATTATATCCGGTCTTTAATTATCATATATTTAATTTGTTTATATTCAAGTACTTTTTTTTATTATATATCATCGACGGGAATATATTTAAAATTCCATGTTGATACACGTCTCTCGTCGTATTACATATTATCCAGCGAAACATGTGTGGTCGAAGGTCGAAACTCTCTCAGCGCATTTAGACCCCATCACGGCCAATCTGCGACGTGCGATCAGCCATATTTTTGTGGCCATGCGTATCACACATGTGTCTTCCCTGGCCCCCTAGAGTTGACATTTTCCGTTTAGAATAACTTACGGCCTATAAAAATGCACTCTGATGCTTTAATTTATATTCTTGTTATATATATATAAGTACAACTGTGTGTGATAAATTAAGTAACTATATACGTTTTAACGAGTCATTTTGACGGAGGAACATTTGGAGGCCATTAAGGATGTGTGTTTGTGTGTGTTATATTTTTTTTATACATGATTTTCGAATATTATAACTAGATTTTTTTGAAATAATCGTATGTGATATAAATACACCGTTTCAAAAATAAAAACTCAAATAGGCAGTCAAAAATATTCGTCAAGAGTCATGAGTTTCTAAACATCTTATATTCATAACTGCACCATATGTTCGAAATAAATTTCGGAAGACTTTATATTCAAGTGATAATTAAGTATTATTATGAAAAATCTTCAAAGAATACATTTTAATATTTTTTAATGTCGTTTAATATTTATTGGCTCATAGAAGAAAATTGCAAATTTGCAACACTTATTTTTCTAGCTGTGATATCAAATGACAAGATTATGGTCTTCTCTCATTAATATTTCAGATTGTATCACTAAAAAATCCCAGAATATTTAAAATCTCTTTCGTTATAGCATTATAAATTTATGAACCATTAAAAATTCGTCCAATTAGATTTCTATAATTTCGTCTAGCTTATTGGTTTAAATGCTTATTTTTTCACAAGAGCTGCATAAAGATGTTGTGAATGATGCGAAGTGCCAAGGGCTGAGAATTAAATCTCGACTGCTCTGGGATGGATGCGTTAATTTTACTGTTTTTTTCTAAATTTAATACGATTGCGAACCATCACATTTGATATACAGCATAGGTTGGAGATCGGAGTAATAACTGTAATTTTGAAATCGGTTATTCAAAATAATTTTAGCTTAAATACTCACTATGATAAAGGATTTTAACACATGACTATTGAATGCTCCCATATCACTTCACACAATTTATATGGGTATTTATTAATATTACCCATTTTATTATATTTATCACAATAGTATTATAAATAATTTATTATTATAAATTAACACGTTCTTATGATTGATAAAATATGCTCCATAAGATATTATGATATAAAACTAATTATTTTGGCACGTCGGAGTTTAAATCCCAATAAGTACGGAACATATTTTAATAGAATTTATCATGCGATATATATTTATGTTTTTACCAATAAAAAACAATTTTAAAATATTTCCTATCATTTCACAATCACAAAAAATGATTTTTCGTAACATTCGAGATATTTCAATTGTTTATGATAAAATTAATTTAATGCATAATAATATCAAGCTTAACATTCATATTTTATCAAAATAAATGTATAAATAAAATAACAACGCAACCAAAGGAAGAGCTGAATATAGTCATACGCATAGTAGGTTATGTATTACTGCTGCCAATAAACAATTTAGTGCAATTTGTGCTAGTATGCTAAACTATATACACTACTCGAATCAATGTACTCGTATTTTAAGATAAAAAGCTAATTTTTACTATCAGAAGAAATAATATTTATCTAAATTATAATGTTTTAATATTTCGTTAATTTTCTTTAAATTTTAATGTTATACTTAATTAAATGTATACATTATGTAAGTTTTATACTATTTTATATAAAATACAACTATACAATTTCATTTTTAAATTATTATCATATGAGGATAGAAAACTTATACCTAACAAAATATATAATATTTTATTTAAAACGAGAAAATCATTTAGTTCATGTTTAATTAGGTGTTTACTTAAGTTAGTGTTATTTTTATTAAATTACACACTTAATATTCTGTTTTTTTATTTATAAATTTACACACGTGTACCAAACACGTCTTGAACTAGAAATTATGAATTCAACAAAAATATGAAAGCTTTAATAATAAAATTTGGAATTAATGAATCTTTAGCCGAATCCTAGATTAGGTTACATTTATACAACAGATTAACAAAAGTAGTAATAAAAGTAAATCATATAGGTATAACAACACTATGAATACGTTCTATTTCAATTTCTCCGTTGAAATGTAGATTATTTATGAATATTTAAGTATTAAGTCGTTTTATACATTCCCATCACACGAACGCATCAATTATTTTAACGTACATTACTGACGACCGTCGATTCTTTAAGCTATACCTCCGACACGAAAAAAAAATAACCCTTGTCTCCTGTCTCGTATTATTTGAAAAACCACTTTACGGACAAGAAAAGATAACAATCTTAAATAATTGACCGTGTGTGAAGGTCTAATATATATTTTCCCTTTAGAACATATACAATATAGCGTGAGAATTATTATTGTTATAAACTCCATTAAATACTATAGACGTTAGAATTCATGTATATTCCCCGTTCATACATACGCATTCTGTAGACAACCGGACCCCATGCAATGTTAAAAGCCTAAAAACATATTACGTATCGTTGGTGTATGTATAATTTATTATTACTATATTCATGAACAGGATCGGCGTCGGGTACCATTTGCCAGTAATCTTCACATGGCAGACACTATAATAATAAACCATTCTAGTTTTCACCGAAATTTAATATGGGGGAAAAAAAAGGACCTTATTCTTTATTGCCGTCGGGGTGGGAGTCGTCCGAGGATCGTAAACCACCGCTGTATTCACCGTCATCCATTATAATGGAGTGCAGATGCAACCATAACCTACCAGTTGACCCTACCCATTATCTGCTTGACGATATATAAAGCGCATCAACCGATGCCCTTAGTTCATTGTCAGTTGAATTGTAGTGGCCGCATGCCTGCAGTTTTGAATTTGTAAAAGTTGTGCGAGTTCTTCGAATCGTCTTCCTTCGAACCTTTTGCTACTTCATCCAATATTTTGATCAGACTGTTCAACCGCTATTAAGCAAGTAAGATATGTGTTATTATTTTTTGTTTTCTTCACTAATAATTAATAATAATTATATTGTGATAATTGTTTCGTTTTACTTAATTTTTATACTGTATTAATATCTACTTCCGTTTTTATTATTTTTTTTATTATTATTATTTTATTATTATATGTTATGACAGTTAAATTATATTAATTAGCCGTAAATAAATATAAGTTGTGGGTTAATACACTGTGTGTTTAAAATAAATTTAGCTCAATAATTTATACTTTAAATTTTCAACCATTTAATAAAAATAGATGATCATTTGTTATGGCTGTTTCTACCATTCGAATTAAAATGCAGACAGATTTACAATTTTCTATATTGTGTTTATATAAAAATTCAGATTAAATTCGTTATGCTAGTGTTAATGTGAAACGTGAATCTTGATTTTTTCTGTTTTTTTATATTCAATCAATCCACTATTTTACGCATCAAATTATTATAATATATGATGCTCCGAATTTGTAAAATTTCATGAAAACAACAGAAAATTGCCGATTTCATTCAATCTATAAGGCCTTTAACTATTTATTTTTTTTTAAATTTTATATCTAAAAACAAATTTATACCATCCTTAGCCTTTATTTAATTACCTGATTGGTAGATAATTCGAATTCGAAACATGTACTTAAAGATTATTTAATTCTCTTTCATTATTTTTTACCACATCTTTCCGGTTACTTATACTTAAGTAATTTATGAATATTGTTATCGCATGTTCGTGTTTAGACGATTAAGCTAAGATTTTATATAAGAATAATATATCACTGGATTCATGTATTCGGTATAAAAAAGTCTTTACCTAATTCATAAAATCGATAGTAATTCACGTATTTGATAACGGCATTGTCATTTTTTAATATATTTCCATAGTCAAAATAAATACTACCCCGAGATGGAAACACTAATTTAAAACCCAATATGTTACTATTCGAAAGATTTCACGAGAGTTACTTGTAGCTATATACGTCAATAATATCTAAGTACTAATGATGAGTAGATTTTAGTATGTTGTTAGTCCAGAACTAATTAACTTCTTACACATAAACTTAGATAATGTATTGAATATTTTTAATACTTACATATACTTTTCGTTTTGCTAAAAATTGTGTTAATATGTGTTTCAGATATGTCGTCGGCACCACCAGTAATTTTAATAATTTTCTTTTTCGGTGAGTACTTTTAATTATGAATATATTAGTGCACTGTGCGTTGCTTAAAAAACTACGAATAAGTATAATGTTTGGCATAATTTATGTAGGAACCAGGATTGTAGCTAATTATTCTTAAATTATATATATTTATTTTTATTTTTTTACTTTTCTTGATAATTATTAAGAGGAATCGACATTTTTATGTGCTTTTTACTATTTAAGCCAACACTTTATGTTCCCATCATTATTTCGTTTATATTGCATTTGTCATCACTCAATCGTTTTAACTTAAATTTTTTCCTATTTTTAACAGGTCCCTGGTTAATCTCAAGTGAATCGAATTTAATGCAAATTCGTAATATGAATGGTACTATTACTTTTAGAGAAACGCCTTTTATAGTAGAAAAGTACTGTCTCGTCTTTCCACCGACTTACTGCAAAGGTTATCCCATGCCCGACGGTGACAGATCTGACTTAGATATCTTTAGGGAGCAGTTTTGTCCGAAGTAAGTAAACATCACTATTAATATATAATAATAATAATAATGCTGATTCCGCTGTACATATCAATTTTTCTTTCTCAATAGCTAAAATAATGGACGATATATTATCGATAAATCATAATTTTCAGTACATTTATTTACACGCTAATTAAGTTGAATCTTCTAAATTTAATTTATTTCAATTTTA